ATACCCTTTTTTAAACAAATAAAACGCACATAAGTAAATTATTTTCATAATATTTAATGTTTGTTTGTAAAACAAGTGGAGAAAACTAAGATGTGTTTTAAATTATAAGCAAAATTAGATATGTATAAACGGCTACACGTACCTAAAGGGGGTCTAGTATATATAATAGTAATAATAATAATAACAAACCTCTGACACACGGCCGTCTGATTCCAAACCAGGCAGAGCAGTCTGGTTACCATAAGGTAACCAGACTGCTAAACATACCTATATATTTCTAAATACATACATATCATAGATAAATTACACTCAGACACAATAAATCATCGTGCTCATCACACAATTATTTATCCTGAGTGGGAATCAAACCCAACGCCGGCTTAGCAGTCAGGGTCACTAAACCAATAGGCCAGTCATACACATATTTTATCCTGTCATGGTACAAAGTTTTTACACTGAGAATTCAAGTTATGAGCCAAAGAAATAAAACAAGACTTAAAAACGGTGGAATTCGACCGCACAAACGATCTCTACTTTTGTTAGTTATCTACTACAATATCTTGCTCAGAATTCACAACCAGGCGTTGTCTATATAAAAAATTATAGATAGGATCCTTCTTATTAAGACACCAACCCTATACCAACCCGTCTGGCCAGCGTGGTATAGTAGGCCAAAACATTTTTTTTTCCGTGCGGTAATCCTCTCGAATACCACCGAATATCGGTGGCATGTCGGACTCGAACCGACTAAAACCGCACGCCGTCTCGGGGCCGGGGGGGAACCAGGTATACCCTAGAAAGGAAGTCCCTGGTGCAGGCCTAAACCTCCTTTCTAAGAAGAGGTCAGCGTCCAGGTGAAAACGTAAAAAATATATAATTTGTGGGTCAGTAGCAATGAACATGATTAAAAATCTTAGAATCATTATGCAATGTAACCATAATGCAATCACGATAGGTAATTCATGAATGATCAAGTCATTATGTTATTATGTGATTTTCTGTTGCAAGTCGTGACATGCGGTGTAATATTCTACTAGCTGAACCCCGCAAATTCGTCTGCGACGCTCAAAAGGAATAAATTTTCCCCGTTTTTACAAAAAAATTCAGTGATGTTCGGCTCCTAATTCACGAACACGAATACGAGGTAAAAATAGCCCTGTTGTCTGCATAGGTGCTATTTCTGAGATGAGTAATCCATATAAATATGTATGTAGAGAGCAGTGTTATGAATACCCCGTACAGTAGAGTTACTATGCGACTGTTTGATCAAGTGTAGGCTTATCATCACAGTGGTCTGCTGTGTTCCAATCAACGGGGTCTTTGTAACCAACCCTGACAACCCCGCCGGATGCTAAGCGCATGTCTAGTATAACAAGACAGCGTACATTATACTTATTAACATTTCATCATGATTTACAACTATCAACGGCTTCAAACAAAGGATATTCAACTGTGGAAAAAAAGGTGTTTTCTAGTCAAGTTCTTTCAAAGACAAGCCGCACCTTCGCTTCGCTGTGGTACATCATAGTTTCATTGATGAGAAATAAGGAAGGAAAGTGACTCGTAAAATAGATGAAAACCATCTTGAAGCGTGTTGTACAATGTGAGAATGAGATCTCTGATGAGATCAATGTGAATTTGAGATCTATCGGTGCAGAACTTTTTAATTTTTTGAAGCGTACACAAACCAACTTAACATTTATATGTAGGTATATATAGATAGAAGATAGATAGATAACATCTAAAAACAAGTCTTTGAAGTTTCAAGGAAACAGGAAAGAGTTTGGCTTCAAAAGAGGTCGATCGACAAGTGATGTGGGTGTTTAACTTTTGGAAATTGTATTTAGTGCCTAGGGGGATAAATGGGATAAGCTGGGTGTTTTTATTGATATGATATTTTTGATATTGATATTATGATATTTGTCTAAGGCATTCGATTGCATTTTTCATAAAACATTGATCAGGAAATTGCATCACTATGGAATTAGGAATACTGCTTTGGATCTTCTTCTCTCTTACTTGGGTAACAGGATCCAGAGAGTGGAAGGTAATGGACAGAGGTCCCCTGGGTCTCTAGTCACTATGGGTATTTCGCAGGGGTCAATTCCCATTTTTATTTCCCGTGTTTATAAATGACATATCTAATCTGATGAAAGATGATCAGGAGATAGTGCTTTTTGTGGATGACACTTCACTTTTATTTAAACGCAAACGACAGCAATCAGTTACTGATGATATGAATAACACTCTCTCTAAGGTTGTGAACTGGTTCAATGACAATATTTTACTTAAAACGAGAAAAAAAACGAAATGTATTAGATTTTGCACACCTAATGTTAAGCAGGTAAAACCAGTGTTTTCGGCCAAGGATTCCAATCACGAGGGTGTGTGTTTCCCACCCACTGTGGGAAATGACCCTCAACCACTTCTTGCAGGAATCAGGGTTGGAGAGTCACTGAAAAGGGGGGCTCGCTGTGCGGAGCTTTAGCGCGCGATAAGGCGGCCGCACTACGATTGAGACCCTCCAGCATCTCCTTTCGGTTTGGAAAACTCTAAACTAGGGTATTGAATTGTGGGTCCGGGTGTCCTAACAGCTATGTTCGCGTATCTCTCATATCCCTCCTCAGGCACAGAGCACTCTTTGTGGTTTTAGTCGGTTCGATTCCACATCGCCCAGCCTGAGGCCCCGCTTGAGGGGGTTTCCGCACGTAAATAAAAGGGAATTGAATTGTAGAGGTTATATGTAAATCCGCCACTGTCTTGTGGAGTAAGTTTTTGTGTATAACTCAAGAATCTAAGTACAAAAGAAATTTCATGAATTAAGTATTAACAAATTTAAGTCATTAGTAAAACAAAAACTATGTGAAAAGGCTTACTACACGGTTGCAGATTATTTAGATTACAAATTTGCTTGGGATTAATGCTGCTCACTCCCACATTTACGTTCCTATCATTATTGTTATGTTTGAAAGTAATGGACATTTAATTTTTTGTTGTTTTTCGTTTGATTTCAATTTGTTTATTTTTGAAAGTTGAATCGTATAGTATATTATTTTTTGTAAGTAAGAATGTAAATGTGGTTATAGTGAAGGCTTGTAATAATGTTAGTTCATATTTTTAGTATCTTTCTGGTGGTTTTGAATGTTTCCACGGCCTACTCAAATGTCCTGCGGTAGTGTCGCGCCTCGGGTTGTTGATCCTGACTAATTTCGGTTAGACTACAGGATGGCTGGGGCTCGTATGCCGTCTGTATGGACAGGCTGACTCAAACTATGATCCTTTTTTCAAAAGGCCATAATAGACCCTATACTGCACTTACATAGTTCTCTTTAACAGTGTTCACGGACTAAAAGAAAAGTCACCTCTGTGGTTTGTTTTGGCGTTTCTTTCCAGAGTGAATCTTAGGAAATGAAGGCGCCTACCAGCTCTAAAGTCCGATTTGATAAAATGTCTGAAAAGATTTACTGACAGAAATAAATAGCATTTATCCGTTTTCAAAAAAGGAGGAGGTTCTATGTTCTACTGTATGTACTCGTATTTTTATTTTTTTTATATGTATTTCTTTTATAACCATTGTTGCGGTTTCCATCGTGCAGGTAAACCATTAGGTGAATTTTAGACTTTAATTAATTATTAGCACCACTTGTAACATAGTGTAGTCCCTATCAGAAATGTAATTCTAATGATTTTTTGTCATTGTTACAGTGTTAACATAAGTATATACCATTAGAAAATATTTTGCAATTTTAAAGTGTATTTCATTATAGCAACGTATTCTAACTAAATCCTAAATCTTAGGCAATAATAGGGATTGACGAGCTGAGGTTATTTCTCGAGTCTTTATTTTACTGTAGCGCCTATTTGAAATATGAAGACTTCACCCTGCACAGTGGCTCACGTTGCGTCTTTATCTTACCGGGTTTGTATTTTGAGCTGCTTTTTAAGAACCCCCGACCCATCCCTTATTTACTTCGCTTTCGTTACAACATGTGGTATAAGTCCTTACAATACACAAACGCTTGTGAACGTCGCAAAAACGCAATGATTAATTTTATTATCTACTTAAAGATGCTACAAGTGTTTGAGATTTGCAAGATGGATTCGCTTCTTACTTATTTTAAATGCATGTCTGGCAGTGGTCATATACTCAGCAGGGTACTTTAAAACACACGATTAATGATATTGAAAACCTGAATAGTGCATTAAGGTGTGTACTTCGATGTGTATAATCAAAAATTACTGTTTAAGGTCATAAAACGTTTTATGGGTAGAAATACTTATACTTATACCTGCTTAATCTTCAGCTAAATTTTTAAAATAAATACCACTTTCAATCAATAAATTTCATTATTTTTTTAAAATGCACTTGTAATTAAAAGTTTGGCCAGCTGGCCCCTCTCAAAACGTAGTAACATATTCAAGGTCTAGTACCTTTAGATAAAACAATTATACCAAAAAAAGAGGCAAATGATGAATAAGTTTTAAACGAAGAAAGATTTTAATAATGAATAATTTTAAAATGAGAGTTTATTTTATGCAGCTAGCGCCATCTAGTAGCCAACATGACTACTTAGTCCATGTTGAACAATTGTAAGAATCGTATCTTAAATAATTTTTTAATTAAATGACATTATCTGTTAAATGTTTTGTATAACAACAATATTAATCCAATTATATGGTGTAAATGTAACTGATAAAAGTAAAGTTCACTTGTGTTCTCAGCACCGTAGAACGAAACGCACTGATAACAACTTCCAACCAAAAGTCAAAGTTGTCAAAGTATGTTATCGTGTGATCTGTCTTTATATTACTTTTATACAATAATATTTATATGTATGTGTGGCGCGGATAAATGAAATTCAAGTTTATCAATTCAAGGTCAGAACATTTATATTCTATTTTAATCAGTCGCCTTCCCCCCCTACAGTCGACGGCTGCTCACCGACACTGTGTATTAAATTATTTTTGGGACATTACAAAATACTGTACACAGAACCACAATGCTGAAGGTATTGAGAGCCGAAGTAAGTACCTAAACATTTCTTATCGCACCATTAGGAAGTATAGTTTCTGTGCGTTGTATATGTCGCACGTTGTGCGTAGTCACCCTTACATGCTTCTTAATTTTACTACGTAAGTTGTAAACACCATAAATTACTAAGAGCGCTTTAAAACTTTATGTTTATCCGATAGTGTTCCGCAATGCACCATCTTTAGTTCGCAATGTTGCAACAATTATCTTACATTAAAATGTGGTGTAGTGTTAAAGCAACACAGGTTGTGTTGCTTTAACACTACTAAATAAAAATGACGCTATTCTTATTTTATTAAAAGTTCACCATTCTGTCATCATCATAACTTAAAAGGTCTAGTGAATTGTCATGCTTCAACCTCTCTACTTGTTGTATGTACTTACTTGTTTTGAGTTAAACAAAGGAGTTTTATGCATTCATGTATCTAATTTGGTATTTAAAAGAGCTATATTATTCATAGGTAATTGACCATGAATGAAGTGTATTAGAACATTGATATTTATTACTTTGCATTGTAAAGCAAAGATAAGGAAAACTTAAAACAAACCATATACTAACTGGCCTGCTCCATTCTAAGGAGAGGCCTATATCCTGCTGTGGACTAGTAAAGGCCCTTGATGATGATTGTAAAGATTTTCAAAATGTATGTAAATGTATGATGTATTAAAAATATATATTTTACTCAATGATTAAAAATGATTCTGAAAATTTTAAAGTGGTGTTGTGTTAAATAGGTACATGTACTTGAAATATTAAAGTTATAAAAAATCTTTATGGTCACACTAATCTAAGTGATCTGATACATCAAAATTTGTATTTTAAATTAATCAAATGTTTAAAAAAATACAATATAGATAAATTGTTTTAGCTATCCAGTTTTAAAGCCAAAATTATTCAGCAAGTGGAAAAATCCATGGGTTTATGTATAGATGACTTGCCAACTACAATTACTAATTTTTGGTGTCTTATTTAGCATTTATTTATTACCCTCAGAAGAATATTAAGACTGATTTTAATGCTTGTTGTAAACGTTACATTGTTAATTTCACAGTCCCTGCAGCTACTCAAAAGGAGCTACAGCAGCGCTGCACCCACCACAAAGCTCTATATTGATGGCCAACATGTGGAATCCAAGACTTCAAACTGGATTGATCTCACCAATCCAGCCACCAATGAAGTTATTGGCAGGTACTTAGACTTTTATTTGACACAAGTTCATTTAAAGTTTAATTAGTATGTATATTTTTTTCATTTCACTTTTTCATTAGTGCTGCAATTGTCGTTATTATTTAGCTAGTCTCAAGTTTTTGCATATAAAAGATTTCTTGAAATGTCAGAATCAATCAAAGTTTGCATATTAAGGATTTTTTGAAATGTCAGAATCAATCAAGGTGATCCGAGGTGAGATGCTATATAAACAAAGTGAATTTAGAGGATATTGGAAAACTGCCTGTTGAAATTTCTTTAAGAGAGTTTGAAAGTTAAATAAGATGGTATCCTGTCACTACATTAAGGTCTTTGCAGAGAAAGGATAACAGCTGATGCCTGTGTACACTTCTTGGCTTTAAACCCTTTTAGTCTTTGGCAGAAGAGCCTGGCCAATCAAAGAATTCAATAGGTGGGATATTTGCCTTCATTTTTCTTCCCGAATTGACTGTTCAACAACTGTTTCTATCTTTTGGGAGCAAATTATGGTTGGTGGCGAGCTAATGACTGTATACTTATTGAGATCATGCTGTTCGAATATTCGCTGTGCAGGATTTTGGGTGGAAAGCATCAGCGTCAATTGAAAGCTCTGAGAGTTTAGTGATGCTGTGAGGTCCTAGAATAAAGACTACTCATAATGCTTTTTTCTCCTGTTGCCCTAGCAGCCATTACCTACTAAATAATTCCTAACTAGCCTTTAGGAACTCCGCACAGGTTACTATATATGTATCGATCGAATAGCGATCGAAAGCCGCTTTACAAGTTATGGAAAACGAATGAACCGAATGACAAGTCGAAGCTGACACGTATACTATAAGCTGACAGTGAGAACATGGAATAGCGTTTGAGTGATTGGACTTTACCCCAGTCACCTTATCCAAATAATTAAATAGAGCCAAGGAAGATGAGATGGATGTGGTGACCGATCTATTAAACGCGGAGCTCTGGAAAATCATTTAAAGGAACTGCTTCTCCAGGGTTAGAGAGTTTATTAGTGTCGGCACGAGAGGCTTATCATTAGGTTCTTAGTCAACATTAACTTATTTATTAATCAGATGTATAACAGTACGAAAGTGTTACATAATGACACACCCATAATCACTGTTTGGCAATCGTAATCGTGCTGAATCTGGGTTTAAATATGTTGATAATTGTTGTAATAACCTTCTGATGTCTTTATCTATGCTTTATTTGTTTCTGTGTGAAAACTTCTTATCTTTCTTACATACAAAGTTCATGAGCAAAGATGATAAGTATTACAAAAAAATGTGATTAACAGATAATGAAAATTGATACATCAAGTCCTTTAAAATAAGCACTTCGTTGCAAAAATCGAAATACAATTGAATTCACAAGACTACTGTACCTACTAAAGTATAATGCTTTCCAATATTCCTCGAGTGTATGTATTGTAACCTTCATTTAAGCGACTCCCATCACCGGAACTAATATTGTCCCATAACATACTATTATCTATTATGTGCCCAAACAGAGAATCCTCAACACTCAATTTAGTAGTAGTTGGCATGTTAGCTTGTTCTTATTCTTCTAACATCTATTTAATGTTGTAGAAATCTAATGTGTATTACATATAAAAATCACATGTAAAATTATAATTATAAAAATATATTAAGATGGTATTATCCAATTTAGAAGCTCCCTTTATATATTTGCATTAATTTCTCCGAAAAATAAAATTAACCTTCAAAGACTTGTAGAATTATTACTTTTTTGGTAATGCGAGTATTCAGTTTTATATTTTTGCTTACTATCGCACAAACGTAAAATATAACAAACTACATTTTGTGGAACTTAGACAAACGTACAACCACTTTCAAGCAAATACAAAATGCATAGAGTAATGGTTGATTAACATAAGTGAAAACAGGATAACATATTTTGGTAATTAAAGTATGTATGAATATGAACGGCATCACACTCCCTCGTATCGCCAGATGTCAGAGCGAAGCCGCAACGGTCATAGTCACAGTTAACTAACAGCCAGTTAAACGTCAGGCAACCCAAACGCATGCAACACCCATCACGCGATCGCTCTAACTCTTGCCCGTACAAGTTTAAAAATTAATACCTAATATTATGTTACATTATTAACATGCACAAAAGAAGAATATTTATTCATCAACAGCCTTTAATAGTCCACTGCTGGACATGAGCCTCTCCTTAGAAAGGAGGAATATTTATTGTTATAATTAATTCAATGTTAAATTAAGTGTCGATGAGAGAGACTTAATAGTTTTTCGGAATTGTCACAAATAAACATTGAATATATCGACTTAGCTTGACGACAGATGAGAGAATTTAACTTGCCTATGTTTTTCAAGTGAACTCTCATTTTCTGCCTCTTACGTCTGAAGAAGTACAAGGCAATAGAAAATACTAGAAAATAGGGTTCCATAGGCAAGCAGCGAAACATTGGGATGGTCTTAAGTCGTTAAGGGTGGAAAACACCCATGAGGATCTTACCCCTTCACGAAAAAAATGTGTATATTATGACCGTCTCCACTTATTTTCTGATTCGTACATTTTAGTAGACGAGACAGATAGGCAGACTGAAAAAAGTTAGCTTCTACTAAGATTTATTATATTAGTAGAAGAATTAGTAGAAGATTATTAGTAAAGAATTTTTATCATCATTACACAGCAGACGGCATGTAGTAATTTTTTTTTTAACGTTAAAACTTTAATTTCTCAAAAACCGTCCAGCAAAAACGGATGACAACTTTTTATAGCATCTCTACACAAGAACAAAAGTTTTCCTCAAAGGCGCTACCGCTTGTAATTTTTTAGATTTAAAAAAAAATCCTTTCGTGCAAACTGTCCGTTTTGGATGACAATTTTTTTTAAGCAATACTGGGTACATGAACTTATACGCTACCTCCTTTCCATTCGGTTTCTAAACAATTTTTTTTTTACATTATGACCCCCACTCTTTATCTCCAATTCCGTCCATTTTGGGGTTATGAGGCACTGAACAAAAAAGTTTCCAAGTTGCCTCAGGAACTCTAATACCAAGAGTCATCCGGAAGCTTATTTCAGACTGAAATTACTCACTATTGCTTTAACTATATACGTACAATATTTCGCTAGATGTTTGATCAATGTATATGTTTTGTTACAGGGTACCAGAAGCCACAGACGCTGAAATGAAAGCGGCATTAGATTCGGCTAAGAAAGCTTATAAATCATGGAGCCAGAGCACCATAATGACCAGACAACAACTCCTTTTCAGGTAAGCTCGTATAAATTTAATTCGTGTAAACATGTGGTTTTTCACACCTTTGATGTTTCTTATTTTCAATGAGCTTGAATCAAAATTGTTTCTCATTACTGACTATGTACATAATATTATATAATATATAAATTTATATATTTTTTAACAGATTCGCCCGCTTATTAAGAGAAAACAGCAGTAAGCTAGCAGCTAAAATTACGGAAGAACAGGGCAAGACCCTCGCTGATGCTGAAGGCGACGTTCTCCGAGGAATTCGTAAGCATTTATTTATATTGAAGTAGAATCTAAACCTAGACAACATACTATAATTGTTTACAAGAGATAAGCATTATCTTGTTTTGATCTCGAAAGTGGCGTTAACGTTTTACTAACGTAACTTAACCAAGATAATTTATTTATGAAATTATGGATTTCATTCACGATCACTCTGACATTTACGTTCCTGTAAACCCATAATTCCAGATTTTATATTATAAATGTGAAAGTAAGTTTGTTTGTTTGTTACACTTTCACGCCTCAACCACTAAACTGACTACACCGATTTTAACAATTCTTTCACCAATGGAAAGCTACATTATCAGAGAGTAACATTTCACCGCGATAACCGTCATACACACAGGCGGAGCTGCAGTCAAAAGCTTTATAATAAATATTTACTACTATTACAATTCTTGGCTACAGATGTTTGATATTTACGGACGTTGCACATGGCATGGTCACGTGTGACGTATCTCGAACGTTATGTACAATCTTATTAGTGCCAAATTTGTGGCCTAATATTGGTACCATGTACTGCGACTACCGAATATTTTGCGTCTTTTTAGAAAATGGTCATAGCGATGAAAATTCTTACCTACTTTACCGGTACATATATTTTGTAACTGAATATTCATGATAGGTCATGTGATTTGAAAATTTAGCTTTCTAAATTATTTTCAATTAGGTACATACCTACTACACCTAAAGTCTGACGACGATAAGATTTGGCTGGATTTGATTTGACGAAACGATTCTTCATCGTCATTGGATTTCATCATCATCATATTGTATATCGATATATACAATACAGCTATTGTGCCTCTTAATTTGTGTATAATTTTGTAAGTCTCATCACAAGAAAACTAACTTAAGATTACCCATAAAACTATAAAAGAATAACTAATTTATGAAGGTTTATTTGTCATTCAGATGTATACCAATAAAAAAAATAAAAATTGTCTACAGAGTCAGTGGAGCACTGCTGCAGCATCACAACCCTTCAGCTGGGTGACAGCATACAGAACATTGCCAAAGACATGGACACCATTTGCTACAAAGTGCCTATTGGTGTCGTTGGTGGTAAGTCCTATGTTCACACATGATACAAAATCTTTAACGCAACACATTAAGTGCTTTTTTGAGAATCGGCGAATATTTTAAATTTGAAACGGTCATAGGTTTTAAATGAGTTGTTTTTTTTATTATAATTTTTGTAGTTTAATGCCAAAATGCTAGTGTCCTATTTTCATGGATACTCCTATTTGGTTACTGGTATTTAATAACTTTTAATTACTACAATAAGTTGATATTAAAAATGACCCTATAGGAATCGTTGCTATTAGAATATGACATTATTAGAAGTGTTTTAACAAACAGTAGTATGTAATATTATATTGGCTGTGAACTGCATACTCTCAACTAAATTAGATCAACACATATTTCTTTGTTTTGCAATAGTTTCTTCTCGTGATATACATTAAAAACAATAAATGATAATAGCTGGGAAAGTTTAACTTGTAACACTAACATATAATGGTTTCCATCAGCGATTTATTGCTCTATAATAATATTACGTACTCTAAGTGATAAGTGCTGATTTAATAACAATATGTAATACTTTAGTATACTACGTAATATTTAATACAGTGTTTGCCTCCTCGTGTTAAAGATTTTATTTATCGATATGTGGTGTCTGTACATCGGGGATAATCGACTTTCTTTTGCTATAAATGGAGGATCCGGTGTAAAGCGACCGCTCGCTTTGGTATCGTGACACCGTTACTTCATTTATACATAAAAGATTTTATTATTTATTAGATACTAGATGATTTTATATCCAGTTCAATTTTCTGTTTACATTCAACCTCACACAATTTATTTTTGTCACCTACCTCGATAACATAATCACATACATACTTATGTATGATCTGCGATTATTCCACAATGATGATTAATGATTATGTAAGTGATTGATATTGTTATTCATATGCTGAATAAATAATGATAATATAATACATAATTTACCAAAGTTTCAACTGTTTACTCAGGTAACTTACAAAGTTACTTATTAAAGGAACGCGTTTGTATATTTAATTTTCTTTTCTTTTCCAATAAACTGTTTTAACTTGATTTTATCCTATGATACTAGCCTGTAATAGCGAGACCACCTGAGTACGAAACATGACTCACTTAAAACATTTCTAGTGACTCTTTTAGTAGTATTTTATTTTACTTTTTAAACCGCGCAGCAACCGGTAACGGAATTTTAAAGGCTTACTATTTAATATGAAAATTAAAAGTACGTGTACGTGTAAAAATATGTGTTACTAATCAATAGAACCAAATTAACTTGACAAATAGGTTCTATTGACTTTTTTGACTAATGTTGTAACTTCTTGCTATTTTTTTACTAACTAATAGTGCCAAAGTTCTATTGGTTAGTAACAAAAGTCACGCGGTAAGGTTGTAACGTTTTAAGTTTTCAAATAAAAAATATTAAAGTCCTTAAAAATCTTTACAAGTACAGAGTGTAGGTAAGAAATATAAAACGTACAAGCATATGAACATGCATAAATATTTAATAAAAATGTAATAGAGATATAATCTAGAAGAAATCGAAAAGCTATTGGTTCTGTTATCCTGTTAAGCTATAGTTCATTGTCAAATATCAGTTAAGTTAAATATCAAGTTAAACAACGCAGGACACCAGCACTGCAAAAAGAAGGTAAACTTGACACAAACTCTATACCAACCCGTCTGGCCAGCGTGGTGTAGTAGGCCAAAACCTCCTTTCTAAGGAGATGCCTATGTCCAGCAGTGGACTAGTAAAGGCTGTTGATGTGAAGTTAAATATCAGTTCTTCCATTTTATGTATATTAGATTTAAAATAGTTTTGATTTCTGTGAGGTTTCATCTTTTAAAATCTTGTTTTCTTATTATCTAGGTGTGGCGGCCTTCAATTTCCCAATCATGATTCCATTGTGGATGTTCCCGCCGGCGATTGCAACCGGTAACACCTGCATCATCAAACCTTCGGAGCAAGATCCTGGCGCGACTCTGATGACCATGGACCTCTTGGCTGAAGCTGGCGCCCCACCCGGTATTGTTAATGTAAGTTTTTAATTTTAACACTGTAATAGACTTTTATAAAGCAAATATTGTTCTGTATGTTTCCTAAATATTCAGTAACGTAGTGTACAGGTCATTAGTAAATTGAAAATTGGTAAATTAGTTCACGTCGATAGTACATTGGGTGGGTTGTAAGTCCCTTGATTACAAGTCCAACGTCTTAGCCAGGTACCTCATGTCTGAGGATCGTGGTCAGCATCTATTGTTGATATCTCACACATACATATATATATTTATAATATGTGAGTATTTAAACAAGTATATTTATTTCTGCTGTAGAACCCTTAACTCTAAAAGTTATAATACTTAGTGATAGTTAGTTTTTATAATCTCTTAAGATTCAAAATACATGCTTTGTTACAGGTGATTCACGGTACTCATGGCACCGTAAATTTCTTGTGCGACCAACCTGACATCAAAGCTGTGTCCTTTGTTGGAGGCGATGCTGCTGGCAAACATATCTACAGCAGAGCCTCTGCTGCCGGTACGTGTGTTCAAACTATAAGTTATTTAATAATTGTTGTTATCTGGTTGAATAGTGTTGATATGTACTAGATAACATTACTGTAAAAGCTGCCCCTTGTAAAACTGCTCTGAAATTGACTATAACCGATAAAATATTTACTTGCCAGACAAAAGTCCTACTGCATCATATTTCTACATCACCTGAAGGTTGACTGAGAGAGAATCCCCTATGGCATTAAATCCGCCTTTGTACAGCATTTGTATTAAGTTTAAAAATAAAAAAAAAGTTGAGCTGTTTTTAGCCAGTCTAAGATTTATTAAAGTTTCCAAAGAAAATACGTAATCAATAACAATGCGCTGACTTACTCATCAAAAATATTACTATTTACATGTCAAGGTGTATGCACCTTCAGGAAAAACACAATAAAGTTGATATTAGTTCAGTAAATATTTCCAAGCCGATTGTTTATATTTCCAAAATAAATAATAAATCCTTTATATTATATATATTCCATTATAATAATATAAGGCCTGTTGAAGTAATGGTCAGTATTCCTGACCGCAAAGACCAATAATTGTGTGATGAGCACGATTATTTGTTCTGTATATGAGTGCAATCTGTAAGAATAATAATATGAGCCCAAGGTCGTCGTTGGCAGGTAAGCGCGTGCAAAGCAACATGGGCGCCAAGAACCACGGGGTGATAATGCCGGACGCGAACAAGGAGCACACGCTCAACCAGCTCGCGGGCGCGGCCTTCGGCGCCGCCGGCCAGCGCTGCATGGCGCTCAGCACCGCCGTCTTCGTCGGTACGGACACTTTCATAAGTTGTGTAAAAAAGTTTTTGGATAAATAAATCTACCTAAAACTTTTTTGCACAACTTTTTTCAGACTTCATCCAGAACGACTAGTGTGGCCCGAAATCGATTTTGCTTATTATGAGCTTTATTATAGTGTGGCACAGAGTCATGCTAGATCAAGATAAAGACTGACAAAATAATATTCGTATAAGAATAACAGACTATTGCGTCTTAACTATTAAAAAATAATATATAGTCTTCACATTAGAAATATACTAAATGTCATGCATATCTATTCTATCTGCCTTTATGCAATATATTATAATTATGCTATTAATGTGCTTTATATAAATTAAATGCACTGATGGCAATAACAGACTAAATGTAAGCTTAGTAATATAATAAATAAAGAGGCATATAATTTTTAATACGTGTGCAAAGTAATCACAACGTGAGTGGATAAAACCTCAATAATATAAATTTTAATAATGTTTTGCTTTAAATTAAAACAGGTGAGTCTAAGGAATGGATCCCCGACTTGATAGAGCGTGCAAAGGCCCTGAAGGTGAACGCCGGGCACGTCCCCGCCACCGATGTCGGACCCGTTATTTCAGTTAACGCTAAGAACAGAATCCTCAAGCTCGTTGAGTCTGGTGAGTACTACTACAATAAATTAAAAATTGATATAAGCGGTCGCCTCGCCGCTGCCATCTGCGCTGAGTATTGTGTACTTGATCCCCACGTGGGACAACACGTTGTGTGATCCACAAATTGTTGTTCTGAGTCTGGATGTTCTGTGTCCATTTCATTAATATATGTAAAGTCCCCCTCGATACAGGATGTATTCCTAGTTCCGGAGATTTTTCTTAAAAAAAATTATAAGACAGATGACATAAACGCGTCTATTAAAGGCTAGCCTTCCCTTGCTATGATGCACGTAATTCAAGTAATTTAATCACAATGGGATTATTTAACTCCTTACTAGAAACCTATGGTATTTCCGCATTGAGACTCAAGAATGGTCCTTTATGCGTCGAGGTTTAGAAACCTTTGCAGCTTTACTAAAATTTACATAAAATTTTAAATAAACGTTTTGGGGGACAAAATGTAGGCTTAAAAACAGTTTACAACTAAATATGTCGAGTAATGTCACATAAAATCAAACATTTAAAAGTAAAAAATTAAAGTTTATGTTTATAATATAAAAGCAATTGTCTTATCTAAGTTTTGCGACTATTAACTAAATTTACTGATTTTTTTCAATGTGCAAATTAATCAAATTCATAAATGTCCATTTAAATATTTTATACATTGATGCATCAGTTCTTTTGAACAATAATAAATGCTCTTCCAAAAATATTGGCCTCTCGCGTTAATATAAACGTTTTGTCCTTCAATTCGAGTATCTGTTAAGACCAGCACCTTATTTTAAATTTTCACGATATTAATAACATTTATTCCTCTTATATAAATGTATAGTCGTAAAATCTTTAAATATAAACAGACTGGTCTTTACAAATAGGCTTAAATTTTCTTGAACTAACGAAGTAAATTGTTTTCATAGGTGTCAAGGAAGGCGCTAAGCTGGTTCTCGATGGTCGTAAAATTGTAGTTCCTGGATTCGAGAAAGGAAACTTTGTCGGCCCAACCATCCTCACAGACGTTCAACCCAGTATGGAATGCTATAGGGAAGAAATCTTCGGACCCGTTCTCATTTGCCTTTTCGTCAACACTCTTGATGAGGCTATTCAGATGATCAACTCAAATCCTTACGGCAACGGAACTGCTATTTTCACAACAAATGGAGCCACAGCCAGGAAGTTCAGTAATGAAATTGACGTTGGTCAAGTTGGGATCAACGTACCTATTCCCGTACCTCTTTCTATGTTCTCCTTCTCTGGAACTCGGGGCAGTTTCTTCGGCACCAATCACTTCAGCGGCAAACAGGGAATAGACTTCTTCACTGAACTCAAAACAGTAGTTTCATTCTGGAGACAAAGTGATGTATCACACGCTAAAGCTGCAGTATCTATGCCAACACAACAGTAATATGAACTATTATTTTTTATGAGGTAAAGAATTATTATTTATGAATATATTAGATAAAAAGGATATAATTTATATGTTAAATGTAAGCAATATAATATTACATATTTCGTAAAAGCATTTATTTTGGTATCAATATCTTATCAATTGTCTTCCAGTTATTATAGGTTTTACTATCTAAAGAGTGTTAAAAACATATGAAATAAATATATTTTCATAAAGTTTGTATTTCTTATTTAATGCTTATCTAAAACATGCGTGATGTTACTCTAATATTCAAATAAACCGCGTTGTGAATCATGCGCGTGCGCAGCTATATGGACCTAACGTCAGTGAGATCATCTATTGGCAGACTTATTTATCATTCATTTGTAAAGGCATAGTCCTTAACTCAACGCTAATAAAGACGATATTCTTTGTTATTAGTTGTAGCTACAATGTTGCAGTTTCATGCCTTTGTCTGACAACAGACGATGTAACGAAATGAAATCATTCACTTATATTACTGCGGGTGCTGCAGCCGTAATATTTCGAGGGAAATAATAAATGTTTGTTGTGTAAATAAATCTATTGTTTTGTTAGACTAAAAGCAGTGACGCTATCCTGTGACGTCATAACCGGAGCAGAGAATCCAACTTCCTGGGTGTCTTGTTATTTCAATGGTGGTATTCGGAGTACGTACACGCTTCGCGATGTTTTGTTTTATTGCATTTTTGGTGTTTTTCATTTTTGTGAATGACTGTACGGGGTTGACGCCGCAATGCAGGAACGAGAAGGGGGAGCCAGTTGATTGGTAAGTTAGAATATACATAACATGTTAGATTTTAGAAGCTTGGTATAAAGAATCGTTTAATTTAAATGAGTTTTTGTTTACATCTCTGTTGTTTAAGCTTATTAGATAATTTTGTAGTTTTTATTTAAATTGTAATTTATCCTGCCACACGTCTATTTTATCCACCTACAAATACATATTATAATATCACCAAATGTTACTACTATAATATTGGACAGTAAGGATGAAGTTTTTATAAAACAAATATCCTATAAATTCACTATCATTTCAGTGATAGTCGGTCTTTCAAATTACAATAACATTAACTTAACGGCTAGAAGTACAATTGTTAATTATTAACTACTACTTGCATTAACCAGCGATCATTTTCTGCATGACCATTAAACCATTATAACTTTTTAATTAACGAAGAAAACGTATGTTTATAAATTATTCTTCTATAATAATCTAATTAATTGTTAATTGTGATTGCTTATAACGGAATGAGCTCAAGGCATTTTGTATATTTTTAATTACTGTAGACATGTGTATAGTTTGTTGGCGATCCAAAAAAAGAAAAAAATAATATTGTTTGTAAAAGAGTATCTTATAAAACAGTATGTTATTGCATCGTAAACGTACCGTAACTTTACTTAAATGGTTCATTAATTATCATAACACAACAATCACTACACTCTATTGAAGTTGAAAACGATATGTTATAATTTTATAAATAAGATTTTATATGGCTCGGCCTCAGTAAGTCCTAGCATACATAATTTTCAGACGAAATCCAGTTTCTCCCCTCGAGGTTTTCAGTTCCGGCCTGATAGTTTTTAAAGTAGAAGGACATTGTATGAAATCATTATTCACATATAATCAAGGTTTTATATAACCGTACCTTCTATGAATTTTGTTACATATAATACTGATATGTTATCCGTAGGTAAATCTGTGAGTGTTTACGTAGGATTCTTTTAGTTAAACGGTTTAAAGAACCTCGGACATCTTGGAGCAATCCTTGCTATAAGCTACTGATGTGCTAAGGAACTGGAGGCCTACGTCAGGCTATTTTGCTACTAACCATATTCATCTAGAATATAGCTTATATAATATATTGCGTTATTGACTAGATATCAATATTCATGTAAGTGGTGTATCTATTACATCTTTATATATATAATTATTTTGTGCGTGTGTATGTGACTCAACTCTACCTAAACGGCTGGACCAGTTTTGATTATTTTTTATCATTTTAACCATGCTCGAATCCACTTGAACACACATTCAAGTGGCTTCCAGAATTGTTTAGTTTCATCATTCGGTCCACTACTAAATGTTTTACTTTAAGACGTGTGTATAGGACAACGTCAGTCGGGTCCGCTAGTATATTATAAAATATATGGATTAAGAAAATTGTTTTTATTTATGATATATATATATTATTTATATTTATTTTACCCGTATGCAAACGAGCAAACGGGTCACCTAATGGAAAGTGACTAATATTTAATATAGATACGGTGTTAGCTACTAGCCTTTAAAATTTATATTAGTAAGCTTGTCAGGGCAACAGGGAACACGAGATATACATACACAGAATGTTAGATCTAAACTCACTGCCACTCGGCGCCTGAAATAGTAGGTATCTGGTAACAGCTGTTATTATACACCCCCTTACGGACCCCTTCTAGCACATTTTTTTTTACCCGCAATTGCGCGGGCACTTTCTTCGGATAAATCTCTCAGTAAGACGATATCCAGACGCACGCAGACATAGCCTGTTCGCGGCTGATTAGTATGACTGGTGGAGGTTAAAACCCGCCTGTGGGCCCATCCACGGCCACACTCGGGGCGCCATAAGTCCTTCGCCCCCTGGTTTGCCGGCAAGGAATTGGGTTTGAGTGGAGATCTTCCTCGCGGGCCCTCTCCGCCGCCTCCTCCTGCGAAATTACGTCCTCGCAAAAGGCCGTGACCGTGGTAAAACATGTGACGCTACCGGCCGTGGAGCGTATGACGGCCGGTAGCGAGAGATCCTTTCCGATGACTGCACTGAGGATTCGACGCCCAAGCGTGGCAAGCGTGTGCTAAACCGAGTCCTCACGACAGAATCAAGTCAGGACTGACTGAACCAGAGTCATTTGATGGCACCGTTGAAGTGTTAATCTTGTCTCGGCATTGAACATTTCTTCTTCTTAAATGCGCTTTCTTCATATACTTTCTATAGTTTTTTTTTCATTTATGTATTATAAAGAGAACTGACTTTATTGCAGGTTTTATGTATATAAACTGCCAAGAGAAAAGAATCACCTAAACCCTTTAGTGCGGAAAGGGGTGGCGTATATGCATTTAACACCACCAAAACTTAGGGGGGGATGGATCATGTCTGATCTTGCTATTAGCGACCCTCGATCTATGGTGGGGAAAACTTTATCGCCTTTGTATCAGGTAAATTGAGAATATAATTTCTAATCATAATAGTCCTGTAAAATAATGAGTTTACAAAATATTTTAAAATTGTAAAAATAAGTATTTAGTTTAATTTAAATTTGCAAAGTCGAAATAAATATTTTTTTTATCGGTTGTAATTGATGATGCCAAAATAAATTAAGAAATGAATTCAAGGTGCAATGGTTTGAATTTTAGTTGCAAAGTAAATGTTCCTAAATTTTAAGGATTAATAAGTAATAAGGAGATTTTCCGAAAATTTTCAATCACTCAGCGTTTAAAATTTGCAGGATAAGAATATAATTTCTCTCGTCTACAACGATCAACCTCCTGCAGGAGAAAATCAACCGGACATATTGCAATCTGTTGCTGATATGTACTCGAAAAGTAAAAGAGGTAAGTAATAAAAACATCATATAATATTTAGACTACATATTGAATCACTTTTTAATAATATTAGATCGGTTATAAAGTAAGAGTGTTTATAAACCACTATTCATAGTGAGAAAGGAATTATAGACACGACAAAAAATACACCATGTCTATGTTTTAGTACACTTATTCATTGAATAAGAAAGTGTTTATAATCAGTGAGTAACTTATTAATAGCAAGAGGTTTATTTCTTTACACACAGCAATTTATATAATACAGTATGCATGTATGTATGCTTCATTATGTCAAGATTTTATTAAAATCCTATTTGTCCTAATTCAGATACATTACTTAACAAAATAGTCTCTACTAAAAAAAACATGTCTATTCAATAATATTTTCAATTACCTACATATTTTTATTATAATTATTACATAATTATTTTTTTTAAATAGAAAGAAATTTTGTATCACTGCATTGAACTACCGAAAGTTATCGCAAGTTGTCAAATCAAATAAAAAACATTTAGTTAATTCACTTAACTTTATAAAAAATAAAACTGATCGCAATTCGCAACCCTTACCAACAATTGTATTCATAATATGTATAGCTTATTTAAGCATGAGGGTGCACGGAGAACACACGGACTGTTTTGACATCTCAGTGGGTACATTATTCTGCGAAAGATTAGGGAGGGTGGACTTTATTATGTGAAAAATTTGCGTGTGAAGGGAGAAAAGATAGGGTAGTGTAATTAAATATGCTATTATGATTAGGTTATACATAAATTATTACTAGAATTTTAAATGCATTTAAGAGAAATATGTGTTTAATAAGAACTTAGAACTCAGGGTCTAACAAAGTCAAGTAAAAAAAATATGTTCAATAAAGACATTAAAAAACTAAGTAGAGTAGGAATGTAGTGATTTACATATGTACGTATGCCGTACGAGTTTGTTATGTTACATTTCCTAATGTGGAGTTTACACGTACACAGGGCAAATGAAACAAGCAGGAATAAAAAAATATAAGAAGTTCAAACTCGGCGACAAGTACTACGATGACTACGATTTAGCTGAAATGTGCAAGATGCACTCCAAGTTTATGAAGACGAGGGTAGAGAGTGGTCACACCAAAGGCGTAATTTTGGGCGACAAGTTCACTTCACTCTGGCTCGTCCATTCTGTGCCCAGGTTTCCGCCACTCCCTGACTGTAAGTAAATGTTTTATATATATATTATACATGTTTGTTGTAATTAATCTTATATGCATGGTGAATAGTGATTAACACTTAACGATAAAGGGAGACACAGTGAATCTGCACATCTCAAAATCCTTCCCTGCAAAAGTGTTTTCAAGGGTTTGTGTGGTCGAACATTGGTATGTAAGTGGATTTAAGCCTATCTCTGCGCACACAGTATCGGGTCCATACCAGATTAGCGTGAGTCTAGTTTTCACGGTAGAGTTTCTCCGTTTTAACAATAACGAGCATCCATCTATCCATTCTCGCAAAGAACAATGGCGAATTCGTAGTTGAGTATAATTTGAGCGTTTTAAAATGTCATTCACAGGAAACTAATTCTAGTAAATATCTACGGTTTTTGAAACTATCACCTAAGTCAGTAATACCCCAGGAAAAGAAAGAAAAATATTATAAGCTTATTTGATTGTTTTAATTTCCTTTATCAGTTTAGTGTTACCATTTTATAGCCATATTTTTCATGTAGTGGAAATACTGTTCAATAAAGTATCATAATATGGTAATCACTTAATAGTAATATGATAATCAGATCATCATCATCATCACATCAACAGCCTATACTAATCCACTGCTGGACATAGGCTTCTCCTTAGCAAGGAGGTTCTCAGGCAATCAGATAATAGTTCATAACTCTAAGTACTGAATCAATAAATAATATAGTTTGTGGTGCGTTATTAAACACATTGTTTACGAATTTGAAAATCCTGTAGTGGAATATAAGGTAGTAAAAAAAAATAAAGTGGCAACTGCAAGCTGAAAAAAAAAGCAATGGTTTTTTGACAACTCTTTACAGATGTTTGCGCTCTGTGTTTAAAAATAAAGATTAAACGTCTGACGTTTTGAATTTACAATTCATTACATGTTGAAATAGGTAATAAATTAAGGAAAAGGAATATACTTATTGGATATTGTACATCCGCATATATAATATCCAATTATACTCATGTAATTAATATTAAGTAATATTAAGTCATTATACCCAATTTTATTCCAATTAAATAAATATACTTATGTATAAGATGATTATTTCATGCATCAGACACATTAAAAGTGACATAAAAATATAACCTACGAAAGTTCTACAGCTAGTGGACTATAATAATTCTTTATTATCTTTTTTTTATTGTAATGACACATATTATACAGTTATAATTATCAAGAAGTTATGCAAAGTCGATAGCCATAGACAAATTAATAAAATAAATTAAACATTAAGTACCTAGCTATGTTATAAAAGACTTTATCTATGGACTCTTTTAAAGATAGTCCATAGATGCAGTGCGTAACTGAAAACATTAAATGCTAATATCTTTTTTCCTACCCTTTTCCAAACAAAAATAGTTTTTTACGTGGACTCTAAAAAAATAGCCGATTTTTTAAATATTTTTTTCACTACAAGACGGTGCAATTTGATTCCAAATATTTTTTTGTATGGAGACCCGCCATTGTTCTTTAAGTTTATAAAATTAATAAGATGACTTTCACTTGGACCTGTTCCTCAAATAAAAAAAATAAAATAAAAACACTATTATGATAGTATTATAGTATTACATATAGGTGCACCAAAAATAGACTAGTATACTTCTACTTTTCATTCTTTAAAAAATGCCATTTGTTATTTGTTTATAAAAGATTTTCAGTTTTATTTATATATTTATTTTACGGCCGGGGCTTGTTCAAAGGATGAAGTCCTGTCGTCCTACTGACAACTGACTTATCACACTGTCTTTAGTTGTTTAATCAAGGTAATACAGATGACATTTCTAATAAAAGAACTTCCTCTTACAGTGATTAATGGTTTAAACGTTTCTGGTTACGACTACCCGTCTACTGGTATGAAGTATGGACAGTCTTTCCTCTGCGTGTCTGTGCAAACTTCAACGTTAAACCAGATAGCCACACAGTTAAAGTACAACGAACCTTTGATAGTGCATCAACATATACCACAGGAGTTCGAAAGTGAACTGCCAAATTTGATTGATGTGATCCGCAACAAGACGATCGATGCTTCGCCTTGGTAAGTAACATACGAATAACTTATTAAACTTATATACAATTATGTTATTAAAATTCAGCGAGTTCAACGAATAAAGTTTATAGAGCATAAATTAAATTTTCGTTGCAAGACTTGTAAAAATATGTGAAAGATTTACTTAGAGAAATAAATACCATTTATCATTTAAGAAATTCATTAGAAAACATCTATAGTTTAAGCCCTTGATAAGTCACAAGGATTGCATGATTCTTACGTTTAGATTATGAAACCTCTCTCCCCGAAGAAAATAATTGAAAACTGTGTTTAAATTTTTTAATTTTTAAAACAAAATAAAACGAATTAATATACAATAAATAATAAATTGTATTAATTAAAGATCTTGTGTTTTACTGAATGATCTAAAAAATTCGATTATTACCTCGCTTCTGGTTACAAAATGTTACACTCCTTTAACGTTTGATGCACTTTATATTGGTCGCGAATGTCAGCTTTAGCATGTTTTGGTTTCAGTTAAAATACTAGTCAAAAATACGTAGTAGTAATAAGTAGATGGACAGTAGTTTAGAGGAATGCACTCTTTTATGTTTTATATTGTTACATATGTAACGGTAACGGCATATAAGAGTGCATAACAAATATTTTAAAAACCTGAAATCGAAATGTACATACCGATTATTTTCCATTTACCAGTTTGTGTCTTAATGTGTGTTTTTCATAAAGTACGTAACAGAGAAAGTATTGTTTTACCACAACAGCTACTTTATGTGATTGCACAGGGGGCGACGTGGAAAGTTGAAGTACTTGCCCACAATTATTCTTATCACACATATTTTTACTCCATTTGTGTTTTAGTTAAATTTGTGGGCCACAAATATGTATGTTTATAACCTTTGCCGAACACTTGAATATTTGTCATGTCCTAGCGATGCTAAAATAATTACTATGAAAAGCGTATCCTAACCTGAGGGTTATCCTAACATGGTGAGCCAAAATATATCAAATAATATTAATTTCTTGTAACTTTTGTAATGACAAAGAGCATTTTGATAGTAAATATCAAAACTTAGATTTTAAGGATTTTTTATGATCAAGTAACAAATAGACATCCAAATATGAGTGTAACTTTTTGTAATATATTTGGCACAGTTATGTGATCTAATAAACCACTATCCGATTATTATGTTCTTATTAAATTCCTATTTTTCCGAAAATGGTTTGCGAGAGAGGCTTTTCAATCATATCACTACTTAACAGACAAACGCGCCAACTATATGATCGTAAAAGCCAGTAACTGAAAGTTTAAGCTTTTGTTCACAAACTTATTTTTAAAATGAAAAAATAACATCACCTCCAGAATTAACATAAATATCCGAAAATTAACTTTGTGAAACTGACTTTTATTTTTATTTTAACATGCTTTTATTAGCTTGATATGTATGTGTATACTCGTATGTAGAATATTTGAACATTATTTAAACCCACTTTAAAACGTCGGATTAATTCAAACTTCGAACACTTATCAAGGACCGATGACAGTACAATCGTACAATTATTTGATAAATTTGCCCCGTTATCCTGATCAGGATCTTTAGGATTACCTAAGGGTTTTTCCATACCTAGAAATACGAAAAGCATATGTGACTTACTTACTTGTTACTTTTTCATTCTTAATGAGAAAGTAGCCATAATTAATGACTAAAAAAGCAAAAATAAATGAAAGTTTAAAAAACACAAAAAAAAGAACACGCTTTTATAACTTGCCGATATTTTCACAACAATTGAGATCTAACACCGTAAGCGTTTTTACAAAAAAAAAAATTCTCGAGAAGTCCCAAGAAAAAATTAAACTGTCTCGGAACCCGCAACGAAATTAATCAGAAGAAATTTTGGAGGAGTTGAAAATACAATAAATCCACTTCCCTCCTTAGGGCGACAAACAAGTAACATTTTAACAAAGCGGGAGACAAACAAGTAAAATTTTAACAAAAAAAACCGACTTCAATGGTTTTCTCATGGATTCCATGGTCAGAACTGGACCAAATTAAAATGGGACCACACGGGAAGCACCAGCTTTCCAATAAAAAAAGAATCATCAAAATCGGTTCACCCAGTCGAAAGTTATGAGGTAATAAACATAAAAAAAAAATACAGTCGAATTGAGAACCTCCTCCTTTTTTGAAGTCGGTTAATGAAGTAAAATAGGCATACACCCGTTTTGACAGGGAAGCACCACAGCCACAAAATATTATGGGTCTTAAGTGAGCTATATTTGATTTCTATAATATGTTTAGCAGAATCGCCTAAATGCAAGGCAATTCACCCTAGTTGACACAAGCTTTTGTAACTAGCCGATATTTTCACAACAATTGAGATCTAGCACCCTAAGCGTTTACAAAAAAATATTTTTCTTTTTGAACTTATAATTAAAATTTTCAAATCTGAATGTTTTTAGAGCGAATTAGAGCGTTCTACCAAATAATAAACTGAATAGTTTCTGACTTCATATGTTAGTATAGTCATGTGACAGTGTGTTAAACTAAATAGTTTTAAATTGTTCAATGTTCAGTCAGACATTTAACTTTGGCGGTTAGTAAATTAATTTATTTCTTCTACTATTAATTATACGTAATCCGTACTTCTAGTTATCAGTATTAGTATATGACTTGTTATATAAACTTGTGGCCTTACTTCAGGAGCGCATGTGCAAACAACTAGACTTGTTGATCAACTTTCATGTAAATTTCAATGCTTTTGTTTTTTATAATTTTCTGCTAATTAATTTATAAAATCCGTAAATTTTATAATTTTAATTAGGTTCAAAACTAAGTTAATTTTTATTTTTTTGCTAAATTTGCCGGGATCTGTCTACACTAATTGTAGTAGATACGGCCTTGAAATATAAGCCCTATTTGTAAAAGTCTCAGCACGTTCTTGCCGTATTTTAAAATGCTACATACACATAATAATATGTATTCTTTTCTACTGTTCAAATCGTCAGTTGTAAATATTACCACAGAATACATAATAGTATACACAATAGAGAAGGCTCACTTCGCAAAACTATTAAAACAAATAGCGGCTCCAGTTCCACTTATTCTATGGGAGGAAGAGTTGATATTTATTTAATTGTTTAAATAACTCAAGTCGAACACTGCTTTTTACCTACAATTGTATTCAACAACAAGTTGCCTCTCCTATCTCTTTATGTTCTTTAAAAAACGAATCGTTTTAAATATTTATTTGCCAGTTATTTATCGAAACAGCAGCAGCTAAATACGATGCAGTATAAGAAATAATAACTGAAGCCATCTACGAGCGTTTTAAATAGGCACAGGGCGAGTATAAAACTAACGTTCACCCCAACAAATTTGCCCTATAAGTACAGTATTTCTAGCTCCATACCTAATATCTAGAGTGGGCCTGGCGTATCAGTTCAGTAGCTGTAATTCATCGACCAGTGCACACAAAAGAGTACATTGTGGTCTAGCCGCAGTTGATAAATTACTGAATGTTTTCATGTACCCTTTGTGTACGATGTTCGAGGAAAACACTGCATTGTCTTTATCAATATGCTGCTAAAGAATAGAACGTTTTCCTTTATTGTTACGATGTAAATGATGTCTGTTTATTGCTGCCAGAATTTAGAGATTTAGAAAACTTAACGTAACTTAGTTTTTATAAAAAATTTGGTTTTTACATGAATACTACAAACAAATTTAAGTTACTGTATTTCTTTTTTTTATTAAACTTCAAAATTAAAAGTCAAAATATATTTCTTTTTTATTTTATTTTTTAGAATTGTTTCAAATCGTCTCTTACTTAATGACTCTAACAATAAGCCATAGATCAAAACATCACACAGTAGCAACAATCTGTTTTGTCAAATATTTAGCAAAATAAATGTATACCCATAGAAAATACATATGTGATAGTGAGTGATATATTTAATAGTGCCATTGTATCTACTTGTGAATTGCAAAAGAGTGGCCATGAGTTTGTTTGCCCTTTCTTCTCATAAGGCTCAACCCCTTGGAAACGGGCGGTTGTAGATCGGCACAGGCATATCATAGATTTTGTATGGGTTTGATTTTTGTTAAATTTATTTGGTTACTATTTGACAAAACAGAGATTGTTGCTTTTGTGTGTGTTGATCTATGACTTTAGAGTCTACATGGAAGACGATTTCAAACAATTTTGGAAATTTTATGAAATAAAGAAAGTTTGAGTTTAATTATATGCCAGTGCCGATCTATGTAATTCCAAATAACATATTTTTGGGCGCGGGCAATTTGCTTAAAAACTTGCTTAAGCAAATCTTTTTACGTATTAATGGGTATATAGATTTATCAGAATGATTAAAAATAATTTTGTCTACAGAATAGATGCTGCATTTGTACGTGCAATGGCCATAGATTAACCCACAATTACTTGAGGCCTTTAATGGGACTAATCCCTCCCACACTTCCACCAACACCCTTGTAACTCCTGTATACAAGGATCAACAGCAGTGACCCACGAACACACCGAGTTATGACACTCGAGTAGTCCCATGAAAAAATTAAACTGTCTTGGAACCCGCAACGAAATTAATCAGAAGAAAATTTGGAGGAGTTGGAAATAAAATAAATCCACTTCCCCCTTAGCAAAGCGGGAGAAAAATGAAGTAAAATAGGCATATACCCTTTTAACAGGGAAGCACCACAGCCACAAAATATTATGGGTCCTAAGTGAGCTATATTTGATTTCTATAATATGTTTAGCAGAATCGCCTAAATGCTAGGCAATTCACCCTAGTTGACACATGATCCCCATAGTATACCGCCCCATATGTCACCTGCAAGCTATTCAGCAATTTATTACGTTCATTATACCAAAGACTACATTCCTAGAGGATATAATGAGCAGACTGTTCACAGTTAAAGTTAGGTGTTGAGCATTGACACAATGGTGACTCGACTAATTTAATTGAAAACAGTTTGCTCTTAAAGTTACCATGACCTGTAAGAAATTGACCGACAGTGATCCACCTCATGTCCTCTACAACCGTTCGCGAACAGATGAAAAGAACTGTTAAAGGTGGTCCTTAGATGATTCGTCCCAGCGTTGTTGCCATTCGTCTATGAGGTCATTATAGACATTGGACTGCTGTTGCAGCAATCTTGTAATTTTATTGCGATCTCGTGCGCCCAAATAAATCGCATTCCATGTTTTGTTGTGCTGAATAGTACATGACTGTACGTCTCTGCACCTCGAGATCGACAGGAAGTACAGCCGCCAACACCGGAAAAGCCTCAGTGCTAACCGTCCTGTATGCCTTGCACAAGAATATCAGTGCAAGTCGTTGGCCTTGTAACAGTTTGCGACGGACACCGCTTACGGTTGCCTTATCGGCCCATACAGGTGCACCATAGCACAAAGAACCTAAATACGTAGCTCCGTATATGATCTTTAGTGTATTAAATGATAGACCCTATGTCGCAGTTGATATCCTTGGCAATGCACAGAAATTCTTTTTAGACTTTTCATTAACTATTTACTATGTTCGATAAATGAAAAGTTTCTTTCTAAAACTAATCCTAAAAAACACACTTGGGTTTTAATTTTTACAGTCACATTGTCAAATTTAATGCTCGGCGGTGATTTGAGGTTACCTTTTAAAAGTAGCTGGAAGATTATGTTGGGTAGTTCACTTGACGCCTGAGACAAGATCTGTTTCACCATACCAAATACAATTTTTTTATTAAAATTATTTGCCCTGACTGCCTGATTCATCGACGAGCCTGAACGGCTGTATGTATATATAACCTAGAAATTGGCAGCTGATGCTTTTATGATATAAGCACCCATTTAGAAAGGATTTTTGGCAATTTTACACCTTCTATTATTTTATCCCCTTGTAAAATAATGGATGAACGGTTGAATGGAAGTTAGTCAGTTTCAAAGTTTTTTTAAAAGGAATAAGGAATAATCGCGGCGGTACATAGCTTGTATACTTGTATTCGTTAAGTAAAGAGGTTACGTACAAAATGTTTTTGAGACAAATTACATGCCCAATGTTATGTTTTGGTGAAATCATCATCATAGTAGCTTTTAATAGTCCACTGCTGGACATAGGCTAGAATATAAACATAATATTCTTCACTATGAGTCATTGTAATTCTTAAATGTCTATAGATGATAAACAGGTCGTTAAATTGTTGTCATAGTCATACTGTGAATGGCTCCAACGTTATGTTTGAAATTCGAATTCGTTTTGTTTACAAAATACTCTCTTTAAAACATAACATAGTTCTGTTGTGGTAACATTTTATCAAATGATTCATGTACAGGATACGTTTTTCCGGCGACTTGAAGAAATTTAACAAAGTAGAAGATTTTACAGTCTTAAATGATATCTGAATATCTTTTCGTTATTATGGTAGATTTTTTTAAATAAAATGGTAATTATTAATACCTTACGATGCGTGTGTGCCTACGTTTTGTATAGGATGTAACAGAATACTCGGCGACTTCCTTATGCCCTTGTAATTAACTCATTTGTGGCTGAGCACCTTGTAGTTTTAGATAAACCATATTAGCACTATCTCTGGGGAGTTCATGACCAGAAGAACCCATGCGGGTCAGGGACCCAGAAAGGCATATTTTACAGTCAGTTAGGAGACTATTCATTTTATTTTAAGGCAACCAAGCAAGATCAACATACCTTTGTAGAACACCTTGTATCTATGTTATTATTGCAGTAAAAAAATTAATGTGTAGGTACCTACCTAGTATCTTATTTTCACTTAAAATAACTTTTGTAAATTTCAGGTATCACATAGAAAGTTTCGAGACTTTAGTAGGCCGCAAATTCCTGTCATTTGCAAAAAGTGCAATGTTCAATGATGACTTGTATAGCGGTTTAGTCGCAGAAGTGTTGCAGTCAGATCTTTTGGTGGAGTCGTGGACTAATGGGCCAGGGACCTTGGATTCGGAGTGCAGTAGAAACTTCCAGTACGTATTTTACGTATCCTATCGCATCGTACGAGACAAAAATGTTAAATCACTAAAAACTTTTAACCCAAGATGGTTACAAACGATTGAGGTAGGCACACTTAGAAAAGTGTTTTGTATCGATTTATTACCTCGTAACCGTATCGCATGATTCGCACGCGTTTCAATTGTTAATATTGATCTAAAGGTTAATTGTTTTGCAACATCGTATAACATATTTTAAGTTGAGGAAATACATAAACATTGAAGAAATATTTTTATCCAGCTAATGTATGGTTTTGGTCATACAATGGGTGTCTAGAATCAGTTTACGGTTTCCATTTTTCTATGGCGGAGGCTCTTTTCTCTGACTGCTGGAGGGCAATGCCCACAAGTGGGTATATCATCTCTACCGGCGTCGGCTTCAGACATCCAGTTGTTTTCCGGCACGTTTCGTTCAGAGCTACATCCCTTTTTTGGCGAGGGCCGACCGCCGCACCGGACACGCGTAAAGTAAAGAGAAACACAATGCCAACCCTATGGGACGCAGAACTGAAAGTGAAGCTAGCCATTTCAAGGATGTTAAGTGGGGAAGTATCGGTATGGTCCAGGGTGTCCAAGTACTTTGGGTGGCTTCAGTGAGCAATGGGAGTGCCTTGACAGGAGATATTGAGGGCACGATTAGCAGAACTATTGCGCAGATGAAATGTGTTTTTTCTGGACTGTGTTTCAGACTATTTTCAACTGGACAAAGCGGCTGATAAATTAAACGAAAAGGCTGAAAAGTCGAAACAGTTTCCTAAACATAATTCCTGCCGACAATAACAACACTCCCAAGGCCAGAGAAAAAATATGGTGTAATAAGTTCCCTCTCTCCAATTTCTTCTCCCCTCCCCTGCCGAAAAACTACTTCCAGGAGATAAACTCCCCTAGCCAACTTAGAAGGCGCGTAACTTGGAAGAATAGGTTGCGTGCCCAGGTTGGCAGATCTAAGGACAATCTGTCAAGGTAGGGACTTGTCGACCCAAGCTCAAAAAAATGCGACAGACAATGGGCCACTTGCTAACATGCCCTGTGAGCTCAGAATCGTGTGCGCTTCGACTTGTATCAAGCAAGGCCAAACGCCATTCGCGTAGCCGAGCACTTTACCAAAACCGTGTAAAGGGTTGCCATCGACACGATAAGAAAAAGAAGCATATATTTTTCTCGCTCTCTGCATGCAGTACTGTGGTTACCTATGGCTGAGGTCTGCCGGGATCTCAGGTAATTGCTTCCTAGGGTAAACCCGAGTCCCTTGCAGTAGACTATATTATGACGATATAAACATGTACTTATATAGACAATAAATCGGACCACTGTACACGAACACGCGAAAAAAAATTGATTTTCTCAGTGTTATGCCTTACGACTTTGCCTGTTACGAATTTGTACCATAGTAAAATTAACAGCGCTACAAATGCCTACATCTATCTATTTAACGTAATCAGTATACTTTTAGGGCAGGTTAAGTCAGATCAGTATTTTAACGGCACAGAGATTAAACTAATTAGAACTTTCCACCCACAAGCTTAAACAAAAAATGGTTCTTGTTAAACTTCTATCTATCTATCTATCTTGTTCAACTTATAATGTAATTTTGTATGTTAAGAAACGACATATTCGTTTCTTAACATACAAAATTACATCATAAGTTGACATGTATATTTCCTACATTCAGATTCCGTTACGAGGAGAAGTTGGATTTTCTTTTATTTAAAAAAAAAATTAATAATTCCAGAGTACGTAACATCGAGCGATTAAAGTTTCCAATCGCGAAGATGTCCTTCACGTCACACAACGATCACTCCAAATGGGCGGTAGCAGTAGCTCACAAGATGCACAACAGCCAGGACACTAAGGTAGCTGACTACTGGGTGTGTGTCGGTGATATTAACAGAGCGGTAAGACTCCTTTTATATGAGAGACATTAAAAAATACATCGTAAACAGATTGGGCTTGACATGTAATAATTTTCCTAGAACACTTGATTTTGAGGTAATTTGACGACGCAATGAGGCAGAAGAGATTTGAACTTTTACTAGACTTTGATGTTGCTGCATAAGAAAGGATGTTGTTAAAACGAAAACAACCTAATAAATTAAAATCGAAGATATAAAGAACGAAGTCGATGAAAGTAATGTATACTTTAAAATATTCTAATTTCATTCTATTTGTTTCAGTTACCGCAAGAATCACGCGGCGGTGGCACGGTGTGCACTTCGGGCCCAATTCTCTGGGGTAACTTTGCACATCTCATCGAATCCGTGCAGACGTGTAATTAAGGCTACTACGCAAATAATAGGTGGCTCTCTATTTGTCAGCAAAATTATCAATCGAGAAAATGCCCCTGGCTTGGCATATATTTATAAAAATACAGGATTGTATATCCCGCCGAATGTCATAGAAGCTTGTTCTTTAGATAGTGATTAAGAATTGTATGTGGAAAAATACAGTGAAACTAAGCTTGAGGTGTGCCTGCAATATCGATAATCTAATGAATATTTACTCTTATTTTAACTTGAATAACCTAGGAGTAAATTTAAACTTAAAGTTACCAGATCCGCAGAGAAGCGACCGTTGAGCGTTACCAGCGCTCCCTACCCAATGCTAACCAGTGTTGGGTTTTAAAAGGAATTAAACCTATTGAAATACGTAACCACTACTTGGATATTTAATAACACTTAAAAGCAGTGTAAGACAGTAATAGTAGATACACCGAAGAGGGACTGTAACCTAAATATTGCTTCTGCAAACTAGGGTCAATATTCTTAGTAAAATATATAATTTTATAACCTAACTTAATCTGTGTTTGAATGAAAGCAGCATATACTTGCTTATACATTCATTGTTGTAACTTTATGTTCATTTTGGTGTTAGCGACCTCTCGCGATTTTAATTTTCGAATAATATTATGGTAAGGCGTCATTTTGTAAAAAAAAACTACTGTATAACATATATAATTGTCCCTGTGAAGTTCTAATATATTAAGACAGTATAGTTCTAGTACAAAAGTATGAATGTTTATGATCTGTGATCATCGTATAGTTATAAGATTGTATGTTTATATAGTATGTGTATATAGGTAAACATGGCAGGTATAGGAATATGATGATTATACCTTCATAATCCTATGAGGAATGCGCTAAAAAGAAGCAAAGATATTCATCTTTATAATGTTACCCTTTCGAAGTTCCTTATCGCACGTCCCACGCTGTGAGCGAACGAGAACGAAGAATGTGTAACAAGACTTTTTTCCGACACTTCTTGCCATAGTTACAGCCGCGTATGAAATATTATATACATAAACTATATGCACAGCTCTCCCGCGGACTTCGTTCCGACAGGGGGTCCATAGACCCCTAACGCTGTTTTTGTCTATTCTTATGTCATTCCATAGACTGTGTTTTACTTCATTTCATTACAAAATAACTTGAAAAATATGTTGTAGATTAAAAAAGATCTTAGAAATATCTCAGTTAATTAAGTCTGTTTATTTGTACATTAAAAACTTACTTTTTTTAAATAAACTAGTTTACACAATAATAGTTTATACAAAAATACACAGATGCAACTATAATTTGAGTTCCTCTTCTTCTCTCTCTTCTTACTTGATAAGGAAGAAGGTAATTGCGATTAAAGATTGCTAGTGTTTTATTTGTATTTGAAAATGTTGTACAAATAGTGCTCCATACAAGTCAGTGCTTTGATTTTGGCGGTTTTTTAAAGTCATTATTGTAGGTAAAGATTTTTTCAGTAGAAATAGTGTAGTAGTGAATGATGATATGACTTAGGTAATTCGTATTTTTTTGGCATTTAAATGTGTCCTGAAGTCTGTTTACTTATATTACCCATACCTCTTATGCCTTACATGGGCCTTACCTATTATAAGTAACTTTATTTAATAGATTCCTTAAACGGTGTAAAGAAATAATAAATGTGTTGATTGTTTTAATAATAAAACGCCGTCTTTTAAAAAGTTTTTTTATTTATTTTTTTGTAAAAGTAACAGTAACAACATTAAAATTTAAATTGGATTAGAATAAAAAAACATCGATCTCATTTTTATTAAAGTCTGAGTACAATATTCAAACACAGACTGTACAAAAGTACAGTCATATAGGTTAAAGAAAGAGGAACTTTGGAATGAGCGATATCTACAATCCTCTTAGTATAAGTGGTATCAACAAATGTAAATAGATAGATAACACTCTACTTGTACAATGTTGTTAGAGTAAAGGTATCATACATAACTGTGTCAGAAGATAATGTGCTAAGGGAGGGTTATTGCTTAATGCAATCTGTTCCAAGAAACTTTAAGATAGATCAGAAAGACTCTCACTCTGCAGTAAACTGGTGTATGCTGCTGCATAATGACAAACAAATTTTTAGTTTCTCATCACGCATGCGGAGGTCGACCCCCTAAGATAGAGTTGTGGAGGAACGGGTGTCATGTCCCTACAACGCAAAGGGAGGATCCTTCGCCCAGGCGAGGTGATCATGCCTGGCGGGCCAACGGGTGATGTTGGGCAGTTGTATTTATGCTAATCGGCAAGAGAATTATTTATATCGCGATAGAGGATTAGCAATTACACCGTAATTCGTAGTTTCTTCGTTAGATGGTAGTCGTTGTAGTATGTTAATGTTTCTGTGTATGTGGAAGTCGCCACAAAATAAGTACTTAGAAGTAATGATACTTCAGTTCTATTCTGAGAATATTTTTTACTTTAAGCATCTTGGTATCAGAAATCCTTCACCAATACAATTATGTATTGTAATCGACCATCCACGACGAGATGAAGGTTTCTAATCCTGGTATAACCTACGATATTGTTTAGTACAGTACGTTACCCTCCTATCGTTCGTCGTAACTCACAAAGATGTACTAAAGTATCATTTAACTATAACTTGTTGACTAGACCATTACGACTTGACTTCAAGCCGATGCTATTTTATTTTTCATATTTACAGTACATTTGATGTGTTTGTTTGGCTTCAGAAGGACTCGGTAGCAGTACTTGTAAGGGCAAAGAGTAGAAGCCTAGCTTATCTAAGTATCAAAACATAAACAAATACAGAAAACTGATATATTTAGAAATGATGCAAGTAATCTATATCAAAGCCATTCCATTGTCTTCTGGGTACACTCTCATAGTTGTCGACAAATAAATTCGGTAATTTTTCAGAAAAGAGACCAATCTTGATAACTGTTTTCACCCTTGTATAGTTATTAAATCAATCATAAAAATCCTAAGCGAAGCGCAAGGGCACTGCTTACCCTTTTCTCGAATATCTTCGTCGTTCTTTTTGAACCCTCATCACTTGGGTTTATATTATATTAGATAAACAAAATGGGGATATGATGTCAATAGTGGACTTATTAACATATAAAGTTTCAAATGCATAGCTCTAATATTTTATATTTTATTGATACCTAAAACACCCAGGGCACGGGAGTGTCCCCGTCAAGACAAACTAAGCGACGCGCAAGGGCAATTACCTACTTACCCTTTTCTGAAAGCGCTTCGTCGTTCTTTTTGAACCCTCATACCTTGGGTTACGATTATAGAAGATAAACAAAATTATCTGGAAAGAATCAAAACGAAGTAAAATCTCATCAAAAACATTTTCAACATCTTGGGTTGGGCTCGTCGTACAAAACCGCGTGTGTATCACGGTCTGCGAGCCGAGCCGGTAGATGTTGGCGACAGCTACCTAGATTTTAGAGCCAAGTATCTCATTGTGGCAGTTAAGAGTTCATGAGGAGAAATAGCTTCTCGCATTATATTCTTTTGCTTTTGTATAAGTAGGTGTTACTAAAAACAACAATTCGTTGTATGATGGTTCTAACATTCTCAGATAATTTATGTGTCCAAATGGTTCTACTAACAATTCTTGAATTAAATGTGTGTTAACAACAACGCTTGTGTCATTTTAATATATTCAAACTATAAGGCGTTTTAGTTTTTTTTTTTAATTATTACGAGGTATGCTATAGCGAGATGACATAAAGCTTCATAACCCGAACAAGAATTGTTGTCTCAATTCTAATTCAGACATGATCTTGTTATGTTATCGTGGGAGAGCCATGCTTCTGCACGAATGGGCCGGCTCGGCCGGAGTGATACCACGGCCTCATAGAAAACCGGTGGTAGCAATTCTTTCGTCGCCTCCCGCTGACTTGAGCGGGACGGACTCCTAGGGTGGCGACGCACCTGTGACTTTTGAGTTGCAGGTGTCGATGGGCGGCGGTAGTTGCTTACCATCAGGCTCATTTGCCCCCTTATACCATAACAAAATGACTGTTTTGACTGGTTGATCAACGAGCTACTAAAGAGCCGCGAGTAAAACCGATATTTTTTTAAATCGCGATAAAGGCCCGTACGTCGATCACCCGCTTAAAGAGATGTAGTGTTGTAGTGTTTTAAGTCATATGCGGTCTCACTGTACGACTATACATCGAAGAAAACTCTTAGCAAGTTATTTACATTCCAATTTCCACGCAACAAAACAATCATCAGTTTTATGCATTTGAATATTGACGACATTGTAGGTACTATTTCATGTATGTTAAAACTTTTTATAACACTATTTTTACTTTAACAACTTATGTAACATATCGTAAACATAAAATATTATACTTAACACTAAACAAATCAAATCAGAATTCAAAATTTGTTTTAGTACCTACTTCGATTGAATTTTCTTACAACTATAGAGTAAAATATGATACATGTTTATTTCTTGTACATTTTAGTGTTTGTACAGTGCCACTATTACAGTTATGGATTATTTGTAAACCTTAATTCAAATGAAAAGAGTGTTGATTGCAGAGATAATTACAATGTTTCAGTTGACTGGTAATATATTTTTTAAATATCGTAAAAGTCGATTTTAGTCGAGAGTCTATTTTATTCGATTGAAGAAAACCCACTAAAATAGCAGTATCCGTCACCTTATGCTGTTAAGACATATCATTATACAGACAAAACCGAAATACATCGTTACTTTGGTCTTGGATCTTCTTTCGATGTTTCAAATTTTTTGAATTTTATATTGTCTCAGGACGAGTTTGCATAGCTAATGCATAGCACAATAAACTAATTTTTGCTTTGCGATCATTATCGACAGATATACGTTTATAGAAAGAAGCAAGTTGTGTATAATTAAATGAAATGTATGTAAATGTCACCAAAAAGGCCTACAAGAATTAAATATAATAAAAACTGTATTTTTTTTTAAATGAATTCGATTCACACAGATTCAGGTTTCCCTAAATATTTCCTTAGTGAATATTAGGATTATGTTGAGTATTGATTGTTTTAGTTCGATGGGATGCCATTTCGATGATATTTTGCCTATTACATGTTACCAGAATGTTAACCCTAAATAATAATAGTTTCATAATAAATAGGTGGTACGTCTATAAGCCGCCCAAAGACAGCTGTCGAATAACAGAATTCGCATTCATGTCTTCCCGACAAAAACGACGTTTTCACGCCTCAAGCACTTTCTTAAATCGCAATTCTATGATACAATACACCTTGGCACCGCTGTATAAGGTAAGATTTTAAATTGGACTTAAATAGAAGTAATACTTTAATAGTATTATACCTGTAGATAACTGGTATGTAAGTACCTACATATTATGTAGGATGGTCCTATAGGACCTCTGATGGTGCAATTATTAAGGCTGTCGTCATATCAATGTCATGCTGAGTGTTGGGGGTCCTACAAAAGACTTATTTTATCTACTGAGAGAGAGAGAGAGAGAGACTAGCTGTCCCGAGTGTTCTTGTGTTTTGTTTAGATGTTTATAACTTTGTTCATTTTTACTATGCTATCAATACAATGGTCAAAAGTTAAAAGAGGAAAACCATCCACATTCACACAATTGTGAATATAAAAATACTCTAGAACACAAAAAAAAAACAATAAATTTACACCCCACTGTTGGATGTGGAATCGGTAATTATTATACCGATGGTAATATGAAATATACTATATAATATGAAAAGATGTCTGAAATATTATTATTATTAAGGTCTCTAAACCTATTATACTTTTTGACTGTAGCCCACGTACCTTTATTGTTTTATTGGTTTTATTAAGTTAATTAAAATATATCGGTAATACTGTTTTTTAAGAATTTAGAAAGATAGAGATTGAGAGAGAGAGATAAGATAGAAGATGGTTTGTGCACAAATTTCGACAATATACCTTTTTTCCTCAGAGATCAACTACTGTCGATATTTCTTCTATGGCTGTAATGGCGTACGGAGGGGATTTTAGCGACCTTCCAGCTTCCACTTCTTCAGGAATCTTATTTGGAAATAGCCTTGGTGGTGTATGGATTAGCCACACTTTGCCTGGATTTCCAAACCTTACGAGTCAGTATCTATACTTATTAATTATTGATTTTGTTACGATGTTCCAATCACATTATACCGCGTAGTAGTGGTTTAAGCAGTCATCTCGCCGTTTCCTACTGCACTAAGTGTTGTGGGTTCTATTCTCATATGGGAAAATACTTTGTGTGATCCACTATCGTTGTTCTGAGTCTGGTTTATATTTGTGTCCGTTTCCACGCATATAATAAACATATAAAAAAAAAAATTTCGGACATCTCACACAACGCCATCTAGTTTCAAACTGATCAGAGCTTGTACTATGAAATTTAGATTGACTGATAGAATACTTATAATTTCTTTGTAAATACATACATAGAAAACACCGAAACTCCTAAACAAATATTTGGTTCAATCCGGGCATCGAACCCGAGACCTCAGGACAGCAGTCCCATACCACTGCACCACCGAGGTAGTCGATGCAAGTTTGTAAAGTCTCCCTCGATACAGGATATATTCATAGTGCGGGAGCTGTCTTTAAAAAAAAGTACTTGTCTTGCAACTATGTGAATTTTGTGTTTGGATTTTCGTATCCTTCGTATTTGAGTGTCTAAGTTACTGCTGTCTTAAGCCCGTTTCCCATCCGAGACTTGCCTTATGTCATATCCCTTATTATATCTGTTTTCTTTGCCTCAATTAACATTCCTGGTAAAATATTAAATGATGATTATGAACAATTTCGTTTTGAATTTTATTGTTCGTAAATAGAGTCGACTCGCAGAGTTTTATAGGTTGGTCGTTTTATAAATAGTTCAAATATTAGGTACTGAAACTGTGTCCTGACCTTACATCCTTACTTAAGTGACAACTCCTGCCTATTGACCATCCTGTGAGCACTCTTCATCCCTGTCATAAAATGTACTCTAACTTGCCGTCTTACCTATAGACTAGTTTTAATCAGACTCTGCCACAAAATCTACCTACCTGGTAAATTTAATTTTTGTAGGTCAAGTAGTTTTATTGAAATAAAAAAGAAGGCTTTTTAGTATGCTTTCGATTGTGGTACGAGTATTATGGAGCCCTATTTCTAAAACCTGAATAAAGTAAACACTACGACTCTTCCTTCTAAGACAGTGCTACTGTTTAACATGAGGGCCAAGGTCTAGATTTTTTCTGGATCCTAGAATGTGTGATCATGTTGTATGTTCATAAAAATCTTTTAATGCTTTTTTTGAAGAATAATAAGTATTTGTCTATCGACAGCGCTTAGTGCAATTTGATCAAACCGCCCAGTTATCATAAATCATGGTAGCCTGTAAAAATATTGTCACGATAAAGTTGAGAGTTACAGATGTAATCAATATAATACAAATAAAATATTATTTCATTAGCTAAAACACACTTCATTCTAAGCTTTGTACTCACAACTGTCGCTACATAATACCTAATAGTCGCCTTGCCTGAGGACTCGCTTACACGTTTTTTCACTAATAGAAATCGATTCTAGGTCTTATGTCCTTTGAATATAGTACCTAAGTACCAGCCAGTAGCCAACTAAATATGCACCCCTAAGTCATTAAACTTTTTTTTTTGTGTTACTTAATCATTATTTGCGATTTTAGTGAGAGGACCTCCGTTAATTAGTGAAAAAGATTATGACAAAGGGCATATGATAATGTGCCTTAGATTGAACCTGATGACTCTGAACAAGATCGCTGCAGTTGTCAAACACACCGAATTCAAAATAACTGATTTCAGCTTACCGCAAAGCCTCCGTTCATCTTTACTGGAATGGGCGCGTATTGAAAGAGATCCAAGTCAAAGGGGAATTAATCCGTAAGAGAAAACATACCTTTGTGTTGTCTGTGTCTAAATGTTTTTCCATTATATAAAAGTTACAATTTTTACTTGAAAGATGTATGATCATCCATTATTTCCATTTATTCTAATGAATACAAAAAAAGTAATAACACAATTTTTTTATTCTAAGCAATGGATTAAACACGTGTTTTTATTAGTAGGACACTAAATGTTATTGCGATGGCGTATCATTACCCACCGGTGGAATGGTTATGTCGGACTCATACGGACTAAAAACCGTACGCCGCCGCACCGTCTCGGGTACCAGTAACCGGGGAAGATGTATCCTAGGAAGGAAATCCCTAGTACCACGACGGATCGCCATCGACGTCTTGAATATGGCCCCCTCGTGTGTGGAATCACGGTGTTCCTATTGTACGCCCTAAAGCACCCAGCACGTTGCGTCGCCACTCGTGCTTCTGCCAGGGTGACAGATGGCCTCATCTGTCACCCCCAAACCTGCGCTTATAGAGGACGGAGGTCGGTCTGCGAACTCCGACGCATGCGGTATCTGGCCCGTTCCCTTACCTGGCAGACTGCGAGAGGTTTAGAAGCTCTGCCGTCTCGCATACAAAACCCTCCTGGTACCATAGTGACGACGACTTTATACTTTTTCTCATATCTTTATTACCTTTTTTTCTTAGTTTTTATTATTATTCCCCGAATTTCTTCTTTTTGTACAATCATAAATTATTTTTAACATCAGCATTTGTCCTAAATGGTTTTTAACTTTTTCAGATCACAAACTAAATTACTCAACTTTTCAACAAGAAATAAATTGTTGCAAGGCAAAATATTGGTTCGTGGTGCAGATGATTCGCGTAATCTTTATCACACATTCGCTAAGATGCAAAGAATTGTTCTAGATGTATACAACAGTAATTATGAGTATCCGAAACCCACTTGTCAACGCGTTTACAGGTTATTGAAATAAACTTTTCGTAGTTATTTATTTTTATCTAGGTATTTAGGTTTATCAAGTGGATCGTCCACAATTTAGTTCACTAGTTTTGCCTTACTATGCTCTTTAATATATTTACCTACGTACTTAAAACACATACATCTCTACTGTGTTCTGATAGAATACTTTCGAAGATAACAAACTTCATTGAATTTGTTAAGCAGCTGTGAGAAAAAAAAGTAAAAATTTATATTTTAATAAATTTATATTCAAATATTAACGTAAAATGTTAATATGGGTCACTGTTAACTTTATATTTACAAAGAATATTTCATCATGACCAATATAATTTTTTGCAGTTTACGCTACATGGAAAAAATATCTATTAATTTTCCGGAACAAAAAGTGTGCTATATACCAAGGAAAAACGACAAAACGAGCTTTGGTGTAAGCACGGGTGCTGTGTGGCAAAGAAGTGGCCGAAATTCCGCACAATATTGGACGTGCATCGGAGATCACGACCGTCATGGTTATCTTGCTAAAGGCGGGCTACTTACCTGTGCCGAAGATTATTCCCTATGGTTCGGTTTCGACAATTTCAAAACCAAAGAACCGGAATGTTAAATAAAACGACTGTTTGTATTTATAGACAAAATGTTTATTATACAACACAAACATTATTTACATGATTATAATTCAAATCGCCTTAACGCAACTGACGATATACAAACAAACAACTCATTAAGTCGTACAAACACTTGCTCCGTTACTAATAAATTTTGTGTGACGTAATATGTAGTGTTAGTTTCTTTTTTAGATACAAATAACATGACTTAGAAAGAGGAAGTACCAACGAGTACTAAACGAAATGAATTATGGACAAATATTCGCGGGAAAAAAATTAAAATAGATGCATTATGTGTGGAGTGTTGGACTCATTTAATAATAATAACTTGACACATCTCAAACAACCATCTGATTTCAAAGTAGGCAGAGCCTGTACTATTTTAACCAGACTGCTGATAACATGCTTATATATTTCTAAATACATAGATTACTTGTTTCTTAGTACGTAATCGGTTTAACCAACTGAAGTTATTGTATAGCGACATCAATTTCATGTTATGAAGTTATACAATATTTATTAGTACAGGATTAGAAATATACTTGAATCTAGACTTTACCTACTGGATATTATATAATATAAGTGTGTTTGTCATAGAGCTTCAGCACTCAGTTGACACACAAAATTTTCTTAATTGGCACCAAGTGAGTTTGGAAATACTTTTTAAATTTCCATTAAATAACATTTTACGACATTAGAATGTTAAACTGCTTCATGAAGCAAGAATTTTCAATCACCGTTTAAATAAGACACAGTTCCAAATTTTAAATTGGAAATGTCGTTTGAAGCACCAAAAAGCGCTCACCGTCTGTCGTCTTGCTTTCGATAAATCTGGGACAAACGGGTCGATAAAAACTTAAAAATACGATTACATACGTACTTAGGTACAGATAAATGAGTATACAAATTTAACCCGAGATGTAAATAAAATAAATTATAAAATTAAAAACTGATTCGATTAAAGCATATAAAGTACCAATAAATTGATTAGACGTGTTAATTTTTGATGTGACCAGACCCCAAACCCTGATAAAGGTAGCGTAAGAGAAAAAAAAAAATTATTTTTGATAAGTGTATGTAAATAAACGAGTAACAATAATTAAAGTTCCTACGAAAATGTGATCTTTAAAGACGGGAAAAGTAATAGCTGTTATAACGGTGTATTCATTAGTTAAACATAAGTTCGCATTGGTTCCGAGGACATTATCAAATTATTTTAGTTGTGATAATGCAATCTTAATTGACAATGACAAGTTACAGTGGTTAGTATTTCGCTCAATGCGAAACTCTTAATGAAGGCATTCTGGTAAACCAGGAGTCCTGCTTGACCTTTAAATAGTAGGCGTCTTTTGGAGAGGGTGTTGTAAGAGCGTCTTCCAAAACTTTGAGTGCGGAGGTTGGGAGGACTTTGGCACTGTATTCGGCTGCTTCGCCTGGCATCGTGACAGCGCAGGTCGCTGTTCCCGTGCTTACTTCTGAACTTGGGGTTTCGGGACGACTGAAAATTAATACGTACATAATAAATACTCCTGATTGACAAAAGTAATTTTCCCTACTTAAATTTCGAAATTAGAGATGAATTATTTGGAAAATTAGAGTAATATTAAAGATTTGCAGATTGCGGAGTGAAAACAAAACCTCGAAGAGATCACGGTCGCATCTGTAATCGAAAATGTGTGAAGCCGGGCGGTCTGAGCCTCTCAAATCCTCCATTTCTAACAAATTTTAGGTTACAGTAACATTACACAGTAGGTAACAACATACCTTGCGGGTTGACTCGGAGGCTGCAGCAGCATGGGAGGCGAGTAGATTTCATTGGCAGAAAGGTCCGGCGCGTGTAACAACACCACGTGCAGTCTCTTCGATCTAAGTCCGGTTCGAAGTGCTCGCGCAGCACCCCACACACCCCATCGGGCGGCCGCTACACCCGCACTTAGCTCGCCAGAATCACCCGCTTCAAGGCGCGACAAGCTCTCGCAGGCTGTGTCTGAGGTTAAACCTGAAAAAAGAATGATTAAACGTAAATAATTGGTAAATGCGCTAAGGTTATGATAATAATAACTGGACACACACGGTCGTTTGATCCTATATTTATTTACAGTGTTTATTACTTCGTGATATTGTTTAACGATGCAAAAAAGCAAAGAAATTCTTGTCAAATTTATTATGAACCTAAATATTATCACATCAACAGCCTTTAATTGTCCACTGCTGGAGATAGACCTCTCTTAGAAAGGAGAAGAAAGGTTGCGGCCTATCATAAAACGCTGGCCAGACGGGTTGAGATAGGGTTGGTGTCAAGTTTTACTTCTGTTTGCAGTGGTGTTGCGCTGCGTAGTTTGCTCCCATAGTCGGCTCTTATAACATCCAATGTATGAATATGGGTAGTGACAATCCGTATTCTTAAAGCGTCACCACACGACTCCTTAATCCGTCACCACATGGATTAACCTAGTAAATAGATGGCACTTACCTATATAAAACAGCCTGCCAGCATTAGGGTGATCAGCAGCAGCGGCAGCTAACATGGGTGAGAAAGTGCGCGCGACCCTCAGTGCCCCGAGCACATTACCACGTAAGGTGCCTTCCCAGCTTGATGCTCCACCGCGTCCACTACTGCCGGCTGTATTAATTACTGCCCAGATTCCTTAAAATAAAAACAATAACAGTTGAGTACTAAACATAATAAAAAATAAAGTCCACACTCCCAGACAAATAAAATGTTCAGTTTTTATTCTAATTCTTATGAACATCCATAGAAGAAATAGTCAACTAAATTGATCTAGCTATCAGTGTAGTTCGTCCGTAACAGTAGTGTTTGTTTTGAGGTAGTTATTTACCTATAAGTACTTTTTAAACAATGTTAAAACTACCTATACTACATAATGTGACATTAACTTATGTTGAAGCCATTGATATACTTATCTACCTTATGCGTTCCTATGTTATTTTATGTTAATTGACATTTCGTTTTTTTCTTATAAAAGACAACTCCCGCATTAGGAAAATATCCTGTGTCGCGGGGGACTTTGCAAACATACGTGAAACGGACACAAATAACACCCAGACTTGGAACAACAATTTGTGGATCACACAAAGTGTCGTCCCATGTGGGGTTTGAACCCACAACACTCGGCGTAGTAGGAAGCGGCGTGGCGACCGCTTAAACCACTACGCCATCCGTGCAGTCATTTGGTTTGCCTACCACGCCATTGTAGGTATATAAAAAGAGGTTGTTTAACATTTCTAAAAGAGCTTAACTATCTCCCTAACTAGGCACTTCGGAAAGAACGTCTCTACGATAAGATAGTATTTAGTTTGCCAAGTTACCTATATTTAACCTGATTTTTTATTAATAAATATTTTGTAAATAGCGCCATCTGTGCAGGCTTGCGTATTTATCACGCCAATTTGCCAACCATTCATAAATCAAGTTCGTGTTCAAGTAGATGTTACTTATTATACAAGATGGCGCTGTTGTTAAGTGTGTTTTACCTTTTACTCATGTTGTGGATAATTAAAATTTGTGATTAAATGGGAATACTCATAATTCTTTTATGTAATCTACTTTCAATCATTTCTTTTTGTTGAAATAATACAGATAATGAGCTGATAGTACATCACTATTTGAAGTAAAAGTAACAAGCACTGCTGGTGTAGTGGTATCATGCAAGATTCCCATTCTTGCGACCCGGGTTCGATTCCCGGGCAGTGCACGAGCTCTTTTTGTCTTTTTGATTTTATTATAATATTGATTTTTAATATTAGTATGTAATATTAAAGCAGTAAAGAAGTACTGAAAATTATGTGAAATATCATACCGGATATAAGAAAACAAATGTGGTTTGTTGGGTTCAAATCTGTTGTTTGTTTAATTTTTCTTAAACTTAATCTTTAATACTAATACGTGGTATCACTCATCCCGTGGGTGTCGTGGATGTCGACTAGTAAACTACGTAGGACAACAGCCCTGCAAAAATAATAAAAACTTGAAATAAACTTTATGCCAATCCGGATGGCCAACGTGGTATAGTAGACCAAATACTCCTTTCTAAGGGGAGGTCCATGTCCAGCAGTGACTACTAAAGGCTGTTGATGATGAGGATGATAATACGTATTCTTTAGAACTACAACCTATTTTTCGCATATGATATTCCAATTTTTAAGGAAGATTTTTCCACATCTCATTCCTGCGCTCATTACTCTTAGTTGGCTGCAATGTGGATGAAACTGGAGAAATGACTGATTTAAATAAAAAACTAAGTACATAGTACGAGTCCAGAAACTTGTTCGTTTGCAGTCGCTTCCCTCCTGCGAAATAGACTCCATTTATGTTTTCGTTTCTTACCATGTTCTCCAGCTGGCAAATGCTGAGCAGTAGTGCGAGCGGCTTCTTCTAGCAAATCTTCCCTAGCCACATCCAGCTCAAGGGTGACGAGCCTTGGCTGTGGCTCATCTTCAGGTGTGCTTGCGATATGTGCTTGCAGCCAGGAGTCTGCTAGTCTTGCGCCGAGGCCACCGGACCGGCAGCCGGCCATCACCCGCCATCCGCGACCGCTGAGGTACGTTGCAATCTGTATAATAATACTGTGATGATATAATATGCTTTTACTTTCTACTCTAATACAAACAATATAATATGCAGCGATTTAAATCTCGATAATAACATACTTATACGGTTTAACAAAAATCGAAAGCAATTTCTGACATTCTCAAACCATAGATTGAATTCAATGATCGAAACTATGCCGATTTGAATTTACAAAGAAATATTCTGAACGATCAATTTTTTACACGACTGGTGGTGTAGTGAACAAGCATAAGAGCATTGTGATTGTTAGCGATTAGTAGATCTTTTAAATTAATAACACTAAATTCATTTGGATTATTCAAATATCAAGGCACCTTTAACACTCGCAGCACCAGAGATGTAATTCGCTAGTTTAAGTACAGTGTTACGAGGGTATGTATCTGAAACTGGCCAGTTACAGAACAATGTTCTAAAAGTAATTATAACATTTAAAAATGGAACTCTTTGGCTGAAGAATACAATTTGTTTCATATAGCTGTCATTTGGTTATCCTTTGTGGCGTCATTTTGAAAATTGCGTGACTTTATGACTATGGATTTAACTCATGAAAATTTTCGTGCTATGATTTATTACGATTTTCGGAGAGGGCCCAACTTAAAAACAGTGCATCGATCAACTCACTTCGACTTTTGGGGACGAAGTACCATCAAAAACAACTGTGTATCACTGCTTTAGTGAGTTTAATTGAGGATGGTCTGTGCTCACGGACTAGTTTAAAGAAGGTCGCTAAATCGGTTGTTGTACCTCAAAATATTGATGCTGTATGGGAACTAATAATGTAAGATCGTCATGTTACATATCGCAAGATCGCGAGAGACATAAGTATGAGACATGGGGTCTATCATTTAATACATTAAAGATCATATACGGAGCTACTTATTTAGGTTCTATGTGCTATGGTGCACCTGTATGGGCTGATAGGGCGACCGTAGGCGCTGTCCGTCGCAAACTGTTACAAGGCCAACGACTTGCACTGATATTCTTGTGTAAGGCATATAGGACGGTTAGCACTGAGGCTTTGCCGGTGTTGGCGGGTGTGCTTCCGGTCGATCTCGAGGTGCAGAGACGTGCAGCCATGTACTATTCAAGACAACAAAACATGGAATGCGATTTTTTTGGCGAGCGGGATCGCGGTAAAATTACAAGATTGCATCAACAGCAGCCCGATGTCTATAATGACCTCATAGACGAATGGCAACAACGCTGGGATGAATCATCCAAGGGGCGCCATCTTTACCAATTCTTTCTATCTGTTCGCGAACGGTTGTCGAGGATATGGCTTGAGGTGGATCACTGTATCGCTCAATTTCTTACGGGTCATGGTAACTTGAGTATATATAAAATATTACATGAACATTTGCCTGCAAAAAATTTGTTCACGTTGGATTCAGCACAACTTGAGAATTGACAAAATGAATTACAAATTACAAAGCTGTCTATAATATCTACACAGGTGATGAATCTTAGATATATGCGTATCATCCTTAAACTAAACAACAATCAACGGTTTGGGTGTTCCAAGATGAGCTGAACCCAACAAAAGTTATTCGTTCAGAAAGCACTTTAAAGAAAATGGTCGTTAGTTTTTTTTTTGTATAAATATACATGTGGCTACAGTGCCACTAGAAGATCGTAAAACGGTTAATTCTGAATGATACACGACCATTTGTTTGCCAGAAGTCTTTGAAGAAATAAGAAAGAATAACTGACAACGCAGAATCCTTCTTCATCATGACAATGCTAGCTGCCACACATCAACCGAAACAACTCAGTATTTGGGTCATCCGCCATACAACCCTGACTTGGCCCCCAACGACTTATATTTATACTTCTATATAATAAATTAAGTGGTCAACGTTTTTTGAGCCGTGATGAGGCTGTTGATGCGTTCAAAATGCACGTTCTGGAGATACAACAATCAGAATGGAAAATATTTTGAAAACCATTAAAACTATAATAAATGCTATATGTTTGTTTCACTTAGTTATTCCGGATACATAAATAGCAGCCCTCGTATACCCACTCGAATTTATTTGCTTAACCATGCTACTTTTCTATACGATAGTTAAAAAGTTCGAGCAGTTCTTCTCTTAGCAAAAATCTGTCTTTCTCCTTCTCATCTGAGTTCCTATCCCTATCTCCTAATCCCCATAAAGTTTATCGTGTGAGAGGATCCGCTAATCTCGAGTTTTCTAATATAAAGTATTAAAAAAACTTACTTGTAATCCAAGCGCGGTATCAACAGAAGTGACGAGTACTGTTTTGGCGCTGTCCACAGGAAGGACTTCTGCCACCCTAACTTTGCGTAGCAGATACAGCAGCAGTGCCCCAACTATGGAACACAGCGCCGCCAACTGCAGGCCGAGGGACAACCACGTAAGCGCATCCATTGCTGGTTTAGCAGGCGACCATTATTTAGGACAAGATCTGGAACAACAAGGGATTTCTTATAATCTTACGACACGTCTTACACAAAAGCAAGCAGAAGCTATACTTTGCCAATCAGAATGCTGATAAACATATTTATTTAGTTATAAATACTCACTACTAATACTTTTAGGCAGACAAAGAATCGAACCCACGACAGCTAGAATCACTAATCAATAGATTACCGAACCAAAATTGTTAATTTTCCCCTTTAGCCAGCTTTTTATAGTGATTTTGCTTGTAGAGAAGTTCAATTACTGCCTGTAGTATTATGATACCAGAAATATAAATATCTACTAGAACGAGATAGTCGGATGCACTTGAAATACGAGATTTAGTACTTTAGGTCTTGCCTATCTCTAGGCACTAAAGTACTAAATCTAAAACTACATAAACTATTTCCTAAAACTAACCTTTAATCTTGCTTTTTAAAAATAATACACGAAAGTTCATGCTTAGGTTTGATAGGAAAACCACGCTACATAATCCACTACACGGAAGTTTACAGTACACTAATTGTTAATAGTAGATTATTAATTCAAATTGCTTATAATATGTTATACATAACTTTCTACTCAACCGAATTTAGTGAAATTTTTGCCTTTTTTTTAAACTGCTTGTAATGTATTTAGATTTAATGTATTTAATGTAGCAAAATAGAATGCTTGATCTTATAGTCAGAGAGCGATAGAGTGCGCTTCTTTTAAAGTTCATCAATTAAAAAAAACGTTTTAATATATAGATGGAATAATATACACAAGCTGGATTAGTAAAAGAAAATCCAATTAAGCATACTTATATTCGATAACTAATACACAATAGATAAAACTTTGCCACATATTCTCTAATCAGTTGATATTCTTGTGTGATAGCCCTATGAGAATACGCTAACGTAACGTAAAATCTCACCGAGGGACTTATTGCTCTGTTTCCTTTACCCCTACGTATCGTGCCACTATATTATTCTCATCAAGCTTTCATGACCAGCATAATAATTAAAATAAGGATTATTTGTTATAGTTAATGATTACTAGTAAAGTGGATCACACATTAATAATATTCTTGTTAAATCTGGTCTGTTGGTCTGGTGGTTAGTGATTCTAACTGATAAGTCAGAAGTCCTAGGCTGTAGCCGGTGGGGTTCGATTCATATCCAGGAGAAATAATTGTGTAATGAGCACGATCATTTGTTTTATGTCTAGGTGTCATCTATAAAAAGTTTGTGTTAATTGGGTCTAGTACGTGGATTATGGAGGTCTGATGGCGGTCGCTCCACGTAAAAAAACGAAATTCAACCGTATCGTTGTAAACTGAAAGCTGCAGATGATAATTTATGTATTAAGAAATATTGCAGTATGTTTATCAACAGTTTGATTACCAGCCATATAAGCCATATGAGGCCCTGCCTAGTTTGAGATCAGACTGCCCTGTATGAGATGTGTGAAGTTATTATTATTAAAACCTTTCAAACTTGAAGCTTTCAGGAGTATGTTCATGTCAGTAGTGTGACCATTTGTATTACCAGTAGTTTACACGGATGATAACGTACGATGCGTTGCTGATTGTCCATATGACGGTAAGTGATTGAATTACGAAATTTGGGTAATGACTAATTGATTGAAGGGAGACTTACCGTCACAACAAATAAGTCTTAGAAACATTAAACGTGTAATGATTATAAAATTCTATTTATGACAAATAATAACCTTTAAGGTCTAGTCTGAGTCATAAGTGTGTTAGATATAGCAAAAACATTCTAGAATTGTGCTTTAGTGTGTTTGTAATAGTAGTTTTAACAAAACATCTTTAAATATTAAATATATAGAATAAAATATTATAGTTTAAATATGAAATTTACTTAGTTTTAAAATAAATTTACACTCGCTTGCGCGCCTTTAGAATCCGTGCGACTGTGGTAAGTCATGTTTTTTTTCAGTTTTTGTATCATATTTTCACAGGAACATTCATAGTATGATCTAGTTTATAATGGGAGTAAATTATTGCATATTAAAGGCATTCATAAAATATCTGAAACTTTACTAAGATTTGCCATGATTTTTGTACGAAATCGTATGATGATAGACTAAAAAACAATGTAGTTAATAAAAAGTAATTACAGCAAGTACACCCTATGTCAGAATACATTCTAGCATGTTTAATGCCAGTTCAGTCTACCAAAATATACTAGAAACGGTGTCTGTGTCGTGAGTACACGAATAGATAAAAGTTAATTTATTAAGATCAAACAATGATATTCCTATCCCAAACCTGGTTACACAATATTCATCTTAAAAAAGTGCCAATTCATTCATATAAGGTCTGGTACATACTTTACCGTTAACAGATAGCGAGAGAGTATGTACCTACCTAAGTATTTGAAATGTTCTGCATTCCACAACAAATTTGTTCAACACTAAGCTCAATGGATGGATAGAATGGAATTCACAGGCGTTTTTATTCTAACCTGTGACTCGAAGCAGAGATAAGGCTGTCCATTATTTAAATCTACTTTGAATAGTGGTTAGGTAGCTAGTGATACGTTAACTTCACTGAATATAATAGTTTATTTATAGTTAAGAAGAAATGCGACGGACGTAGATTTGTAAACATTATTAACAATACATGACGTAGTGTGTTTGTTTATTAGACAATATCATTTTTAAAACTTTCATCATGCGTATAATATCCATATGTTTATTGGGTAATATCAAGAATAAATATAGTATAGTAAATTAAAATAAACATGATTTGTCAAATGTCAAACGTTACTACCAAAAATGGCGAAGTTTCATATAAATTTCCTACTCCCATTTTACACCTTTGGGGGTGGAATTTTTAAAAAGCCTTTCTTCGTGTACCTACGTCACTTACGGAAAATTTGTGCAAAATTTCATCCTTCTATACCCAGCGGTTACAGCTGTGCGTTCATCGATCAGTCAGTAAATCAGTCTGTCAGTTTATTCCTTTACAGATATAGATTACATCACAGCATACTTTTTTCATTCCAAATTTTATCAAATTTTAATATTTACTAAAGAAAATTCAATGACGTTTGTAGGCGTTGTATATTTTAAACTTTTCCCCGCTACATGAGAGAGTGATTGTGTGGGAGTGGTATCGTTTTTTTAAAGATAACAAATAATATGAAATTGGGCTGAACTACAATGTTATTTAAAGTAAGTTTATTCCATAACTTCAAACGTTAGTAAGGAAGAGGTCGTATACGTCTTGTTATTAAAGTAACAGTGATCATCCAATATATATATAAATATCTTGTCTACGGTATTTGTTGCGGCAATCTTCCAAAACGGCTCCACCGATTTTAAAGTAAAGTGTTTTTCACCCTCCTTCCCCCAACCCAATATTTTAATTGCGATTTTAGCATTTTTGTATGAATTATTTCATAGTAGAACAAAGTTTGCCGAGTCAGCTAGTACAAATATAAAAAACTAGTATCCAGAAAGAATAACTTGAAAAAAATGAACATGTTTTGTATAGAAAGCATGACCGTGTGTATAAAATATGTACCGAAAACATTAACAGTGGTAGATCGGGGGTTAAAAACTATTTAATCGGTTGACAACTTGCTGAAAATATTACCATTATAACTAAAAGGATTACTAAAAGTATTGTTATATGGAAGCAATCGTTCCATTTAATTGACATATGATCGACTACTTCGATCAGATCCACACTTCCATACTTATATTATGTAATTATGGAAAAGTGAGTTTGTTTGTATTTGACCAATGGAAAGCTGCATTATCAGTTAGTAATATAGATTACTTTTTACCGCGATAACCGTGTATAGTATTCACTCCTATTATAAAATTATCTCGGTTTATGCAATAACTGAATAGCATAAAAAATAGCGACTTGTTTCAAAACAACTTATACCTTATGTACAAATTATCATATTACACCTATAATATCCAGATGTTTCTGTTAAAAGTTTTGTGTTAGCACACCGTGAATATCCTAACGCTTTCTTAACAAAACTTAATACGTGACGGTATACAAACGAAAAAGTTTCCATCATTGTTTAACACATAATGGCAGTAATGGCACTATCAGGGTTTACCTCGAACAGTGACAAATATATTCACTTTACATGTCCATGTTTTTTTATTTGTGTGTATTTATGATTTTGCAACTTTATTTATCAGTGTTGACTTTTTTAAGAGATCATAAATAATCGTGTATCGTCAAATACAATCAGTTGTTTGGAAATCCAGCAATGGCAACTAAGACTTACAGTGCTTATATACACTTAGGTATATATAACTGAACAAATCTGCCTACACATATGTACTACGTACATACGTTTCGGACATTCGCACACAATACAACATTTGCACATAATATCGACAACAATGGAAGCGTGTAATGTGAACACAGAAATAGGTAACATAAACGGTAAGACAAATCGATTATATCACTCTTTAATGTCTATTCGTATAAAATAAACGATAAATACAAACCTTACAAGCCACGAACCATTACACTTGATCAGCGCGCGAGCGGTTTCACTCGTAATAGAAACCTATTATTAGATGAAAGTCCTTTTCTATTGTCTGTCGACTGTCCTGTTCCGCATGAGTTCGCCAATCATCCAATAAAACTGTTAAAATAAAACTGCTTATGGACTAGACTGATTAGCATAGAATTTAGATATTTACTAGTTCAATTTAGTGTGATAGTTTTGAAATAGGTATGTATTTACTGTTTAAATTATACCCGAGTTAAGTTACTCTCCATGATCAATCAATTTAGCCAAATAGGTAAGTACAATAAGGTGATTACTGGCACTATGTATATTGGATTTGAGATTTTGAGTCTAGATGGTTGCGAAATTTACGATGCTCTTTCTTAATAAGAAACAAATTTAAAAAAAAACCACCCGAACTTACATTTGAAGAACGCTAAAATTATATAGCGTACGGGTACCAAAATTAAAAACAAA